TTCCAATGCAATGGTTTCCAATGTTATGATTTTACCTTCATTGTTTGTTATATGATATTGCGACTCTCTTTCTTTATGTTTTGTTGACACAGTCATAACTTTACATTTATTTGGATGGAATCGTAATAGCCACTTATCCGACCACTTCATCAAAGTACAGAGATCTTCTTGGAGTACTTGAAGTGCTCATCGTTACCATCCGATATTGTTCTATATAGTTAAGTGACGTCCGTAAACATGTAGGTTGGTGAAGATGTGCATTCCGGTAGATCGTTAATATATATGACGAAAAGTATCGGACCTAGTACGCCCCCTTGGGGTATTCCGCTAATAACTTTGTGCTGTGCTGATGGTGTACCGTTTACAATAACTCTTTGTTTCCGATCTGTTAAAAAACTTTCAATCCATCCAACTAACTGAGGGCTAAAACCATAACCTCGGAGTTTGTTTAGAAGGTGTTTATGTGGAACTTTATCAAACGCCATCATAAAGTCCATGTACACTATATCCAATTCTCCGCCATTATCTAAAATTGTAGTCCATTCATCCATGACTTTCAGTAGTTGTAGCACTGTTGACCTCCCAGACAAAAATCCAAATTGTTTATCACTTAATAATTTGTTTTCCTCCATATGTAGTATCATCTTGCTTCGAATTAATCTTTACATTATTTTACAGACAACACTTGTTAGATTGTCTGGTCTATAGTTTGCAGGGTCTGAGCGATCGCCCTTTTTAAATGTGGCCGTTATATTTGCAGTTTTCCATGAATGAGGAACGGTCCCTTGGTGAAGGGATACATTGAAAATAGTTGTTAACGGTTTACATATTGAATTGGCCAATTCCTTTAAAATATTGTTTAGCATCATAGTACCACTTAGCCATCATAATAGTGTTTCAGTTTACATTTAAACTTTCATCCTTAATGCAGAACAAGAAAAGAGGGTTGAGGGATTTTCGGCGGGAATGTTATCGTTACTATGTACTGATGTAAGTTTTAGCCTTTGGTAGTCATGACCACTACTTGTATTTGAAGAAATATACCTGAATTATCTAAATACGGCCAGACACTAACCATGTGAGGTTTGTATTAATAATTTTGAAATAGAAAAAAAAAACAATTATCAACTAAACCTGCTAAAAATCAATGCGAAATGTAGGTTGACACTGTGTACGCCAAGAAATGGCAAGGTATGTGTTTGTACGGTATCTAGATCTATAAATAATTAATGAAATATAGTTATTTTCAATAGTACAAACTCAAGTAAGAAAATAAGATCCAGCAGGCTACATCTTTATTGGTCAGTACTTTTCTATAAGCGTGTGAAATTAATAGACGCTAACTTAAGTCTATATGTATCTTGTTAATTTTATTTCAAGTCAAAAAATAAAATGAGTTGTTTCCCCTGGGCGAGATAATGAACATTCTATTCAACAGATGGCACTGAGACTATACATTTTCTACTCTCGCTGTACGAAAGAGTTCTCGACAACAATGTACACAACCTGCCAGCACTTGTATTTCAACAAAATGGAACAAGAGGATTACAGGACACGTGAGTCAATATTTACACTTTTCTTGTTTGTTTTTTATGCCACATTAGCTAAAATAACCCATTTTCCCAGTTCAGCATTGAAAGCGAAACCCCAAGTTAAAACCAATTGGCTTAAGTAAAAATTTAACCAGCACTGACACAGTTATCGACGAATTGTATTTTACATATGTAAATTATCCAAAAATATTGTGTAATGCTCTGTAAACGTAAGTATGTTTTTTTTCGGTATATGAATGGTATTCGTCTGACCACAGGAATATAGTTACTATTTTGATAAATATGATACAAACGTCGTTGATCAATATTTATAAATGAAGTAAAAAAATAAGATTAAGAAACGCACACAGTTAAACGCACGCAGTTATCATGTTGTAATAAAGCTTCGTGTGGAATATCGATTATCTTATTCTTGTGCTGAGACGCAGAATTAAGATAAAGATGAACATTTCCTTCGTCTTGTAGCCGTGGTAAATTTTATGCCAATGCTGGAATTCGAACCCATAACCTCTCGCCTACGTCTAATGGCGTAATGCATAGCTCTTTCTAGCCAAGCACTGTATTATGACAAGTATTTATCAGGGCGACATGCTCCTGCTCCAGGAAGAAACTTGTCCTCAGCAAATGCTCACTAGGCATGGTTCGATAATTTTTAAGGAGTTCCTAGCTACAGAGGTTGCCAATGTAATAGAGGTTGATCATTATTTATGTCAGTGCATCCATTCAGATTCAAGCTCAGGACCTCTGGCTTACTAGTCTTACACTCAACCAATAAAGCTGAAGATATCTGTCTACCAAAGAAGTTTATTGTGGCTAGTGTTTCTAGGGTTACACTATGGTAGAACACTAATTGATAATTGGTAGAGATGTTCTGTTTTGATTTAATTAGAGACTGGATTTATTCACGAACATGTATTTGTTGCAGCTGAAGGACTAGCCCAAAGGGACCTGACTATCTGTCAGCTTTTGAATTTTTGTCTTGGTCACGGTTGATATCGACCACAAATAAAACAAAAATAACATCGTAGATTGATAGTCAGAACCTTTCGGACCTTTCAGACACTTTAAAATATATATCACCATTGTCATGCCCTTACTATTGGATGAATGCTTTGATCAGAACATTTTGTATTGTCACTGTGTATTGAACAAATGTTGGTCATTATTTAAGGGTTTTTTCCCAACTCGTTTGTGGAAAAGGACCTTTTTATCTCATTGTAAAGAAACTTGAACAATTTGGAAGGAAATTTTAAATAGTAATATATATATATGTTTGGAATTCAGCTATATCATGAAATAAATCCAATTGGAAATGTGACCCATGTTCTTCTCCACAGAGGCTCTAGAAAAACCCTGTTATTTATAGCCATAGTCTCGATCCCACAGATGGTGACATAAGATTGTGTCCTTGTATAAGTTATCATTGATGGTGAATTCATTGTATGATGGCTTGTTAAATTGTCAGTATTATATTAAGATGTATCAGAAACACCGATAAATTTGCATTAAAATCAGGTAAGATATCACTTAGGTCCATAAGTTTATTTCATATTTTTCAGGTCCCTTTGGTTAAAGGAGATGAAATATTGTCATTAAGAGCGATGTCTGCATACCGAAGGGTTCAACGTGACAAAAGGTAAACAGTAGCACTTCTTTGTATGTGGTGACTGAGACTTCACGAGTGGGTGTGGCAGTTGGAATTATTCTGTCAGAATATGTAATCTTGTATATAATTAATGGGTTTGAATTTTAAGTAAGTATTAGAACAGAATTCCTTAAAGGTAAATCCTGTAATGTAATGGTGTATGCTACCTTAAAGTTGGTGAACAGGTGAGATATTTTAATTATATTCATGTATTGACATGTGACTGACTATAGCGAAGTTGATTGGACGAGACTAACATGTGACTGACTATAGCGAAGTTGATTGGACGAGACTAACATGAAGTTCTTGCTATGAATTCTTGATTTTCACCTGACTCTAAGTTCTTGTCACTCCACACCTGGCACTCTTAGTGGTTGCACTCTTTATTGTAAAGGAGTATGTTTAGGCTGCATTTGGTGGTAAGATAAGTTTTTATACTAGTTTTGGTAAATTATTTTATACACTGAAGTTTCTTACATTAAGTGTAGACTCATTCTGTATAATGTTCAAATATTCTTTATAACTGATAATGAAACAGGGACTGTATACGGAATAGAAATTCTCATAACTAGTGGAAGATTTGAGTGTGACATTTCAATAATTACCAGGTACATATTCACCTTCATCAGAAAAATGACCAGTATGAAGCCTACTGGTACTGACCTATATAGCGTAAGGGATGGTAAGGAATTGACCCAACTTTTTTGGCTATACTATAATCCGATGAACACTAATGTACGAAATAGGTGATGAGATAAACAGATGATAGGAAAAAAAAGTACAGAGGATGGTAATAATGTACTCTAGTTGATTTGGCGAAGCTTTGTGTAACACTTGTTGACAGATGTGCCAGAGTCTGGGGCCCCCCTCATCCCTGTTTGTAAATGGATCACTGTGGCTTATTCCAGATAATCTCCAGAACCAGCAGGGCTGTTGATCTATCAGATTTGGGGCCAAATATTGGCCCCATTCCCAATGTAAAATAGTATCTTTTTTCCCAATTTAGACCCGAAGTTTTCCCAATTCTAAGGAAAACACCATTATTTTTCCCAATTCTAAGGGCCCCGGGCCCCAGTCCCAAAATGGGGTGTGAGAGCCCTGACCAGTGACCTGAATAGGTTATTTTTTATTTTTGTCTATATATTTTCCCACTTAATGAAAAGGGCCACAGACTCTTGCACACTATTTTTGACCTTGGTTTACATAGGATCATAGTATATTAAGTATGGATGGCCTGTCAGAGTGTGGTGAGTATTGAGTATGAATAGCCTGTCAGAGTGTAGTGGGTATGAATAGCCTGTAGTGAGTATGAATAGCCTGTATTGAGTATGAATAGCCTGTATTGAGTATGAATAACCTGTATTGAGTATGAATAGCTTGTAGTGAGTATGAATAGCCTGTATTGAGTATGAATAGCCTGTATTGAGTATGAATAGCTTGTAGTGAGTATGAATAGCCTGTATTGAGTATGAATAGCCTGTATTGAGTATGAATAACCTGTATTGAGTATGAATAGCTTGTAGTGAGTATGAATAGTCAGTATTGAGTATGAATAACCTGTATTGAGTATGAATAGCTTGTAGTGAGTATGAATAGCCTGTATTGAGTATGAATAGCCTGTATTGAGTATGAATAACCTGTATTGAGTATGAATAGCTTGTAGTGAGTATGAATAGCCTGTATTGAGTATGAATAGTCAGTATTGAGTATGAATAGCCTGTATTGATTATGAATAGCCTGTAGTGAGTATGAATAGCCTGTATTACAGACATTATTGAATAAAGAACGTGTTACTGTTATAGACTTGATCACCTGAAGAAGGAGAGTGTCAAACTGAACGAGGATGTAGAACACTTACAGGATGCATTACTATTGCACCAACGCTTCCGGGAGGACGAGGGATCAACTATCAGGGGCATGCTTAAGTAAGTAAAAATATAAAACATTTTAATTTGTATTGAAATCTATCCATGTAAGGATAATAAATTATGTTATTGCGGTAGAAATGTTACTTAATTGTAGACATGAACATGAGTTTTGGGAGAATTTATCTATTTACTTTGTTTATGAAATTAATTACAGATAATACCAGTATCATCTTTAGACACAAATGATCTTATTGTAAGTTTGAGTTTGTGTGTTACATACACTGAAAGTAGCATTCATTTACATCAGTGCACAATCTGTGTCCATAGGTTAAAACAAATCTGTATCGACCCTTGTCAGCTGGATGAAACCACATATATTTTGTTTAAGTGAACCTCAAAATATTTATTAAGAAAACTATACCAACACTCTGTACTTGCAATTATTTGGGGTTTTTTTTGTAATTATTTTTCAGAAAGGAGATAGGAGGGTCAATTTGGCAACATGGTGGAGCAGGAAAATTAAGAACATATAAATCTACAAAGGACCTTGCTGATCCTTATGGTACAGGTACTCCTAATTCTAAAACCAAGGATTCTAGTAGGTCAAAGGTCACAAAGATCGTCAGCGATGGAGTGGAATCAAATTATGTAAAACACAGGGGCTTAAATGGAAGTTCCAAACCTTCTGAAAAGAATGGTCCATCCAAAACTGCAGGGAATAGGCTTGATAACGAAAATGATTCTTATCATTCTAATGGTAGTAATGGCATGGAAAGGATCAAGGTTCAAAATTCCATTGGGAGAGATATTCCTCCTGGGTGTGAAAGTTTTGGAAATACAAGACAAGATAATGAGGCAGATAGCAGAAAAATTGGAAATTATGACTTACAAAAAATGGAATTGTTAAAAACAAAAGTGATTGAGAAAGCCAGTGCTAATGTAATCACACGTAAGAAATGTGCTGGAAAATACAACATTCCAGATAATAAAAAAGAAAATCCTTTGTCAAATACATCAGGCAGAGTGAAAAGTTCACCTGTAAAGTCACGACGAGAAAATAGCAGGGAAAGAAGAAGTGAAACAGGAAAAGTAGATAAATTACAGAGAGAAAATCAGAAACAACAAACAAAACATGAGAATTCAGCACCAAGAAATTCAATGGATCTTGAATCTAATGAAATTCAAGAAGAATCTCACAGATTGACTAGTCCCAAATTTCCAAAGCAAACTAATAGAATTTTTGTAGATGATTCTGGAAGAAAGTCACCATTGGGAATAGACAACCAAGCTATTCTTCATGATACTGATCAGCAAAATGTTTGTCACTCACTTGATACAAGTCCAAAACAGGTGTTAAAATGTGACCCAGATGTGCAACTATGGTTACGCAGGCTTGGTTTACTAGAAGAGGAAAAGTATATCCAAATCTTTGCCAAAAATGAAATAGACATGGAAGAATTGCTACTGCTCACTCCAGAGCAGTTAACAAGACTTGGAGTGGTTGCAGTCGGAGCATTTAACAAAATTGTACGAGGAATTCAGGAACTACAGCAGAAATCCAGTTGGACTGGTGAAATGTTGTCACAGAAATCCAATAACACATTGTCACAAACTACAGCAGATATCTGTTCATCAGTGTCCAAAAATGACTGGAACACTAGTCAGGAGAGTTCACCTTACAGGACCACACCATGGAAAGATAGATCTATACAAGATCCTAAAGGGATAGTTGATGGAGTTAAAAAGCCAGAGTTCAGAGCTTTAAACAGTCAAGACAATGCCTCAGATAAGATGAGTTCGCATTCATCTGAACCAAATAATTTTGACAAAATGTCCTTTTTAGAACATGATTTGAACAATGAAAAACACAAGCCAGTGGATGAAGGAGGTGGGAAAAGGGATACAAAAAAGCTTGATATTGATGGAAATAAAAGGATTTTATCACGATCAAATAGTTTTAATTCTAGGTCTTCAACATCAAAGCCACCAGTGAAGCGAGAACAAGAGAGGGCAAGTAAGAAAGACATAGAGAAAAATTCAGACAAAAAGAAAAAAGGTCAGGGAAAGTCACAACCTCGACCAAGGTCAAGGTCACTCACAAGACGTGGAAGTATGAGCAAAATTGACAGTAAGGCTCCAACCTCAGAGAATGTAAAACAGAAGATGTTGATAATTCGACCAGAGTCAGCCAAAGTGGAAGCTGTTGACACAAATGGACAACAAAAGAAACATCCGGGTAAGTAACTTTTATCTCTGGTGCTGCTTGTTATTAGAGTTACTTGATGCTTCACCTTGTTAATTATCTGCTACTACAGAGTTGTACTCACTTTCTAAAATTTGTGTGAAGTAAGCAATTAACCGAAAAGCTGTTGTTATATCAGTCACAATAAATTGATTTTCTGTGATTTGACATGTTACAATGAAATGATGAAGAATTAAAGAAATAAAGAAAATATCGGTTATGGATAAGTGACTAGGAAAATTTCTGTTTTTAGCTCAGGTTATGGTTATTAGGTTGGTAAGCTTTCTGTATTGTTTCCTATGATACATCATGTAATGTTTTGTTAGCCCACTATCTACTCAAATAGATGGTGGGTTATTCAAATCGCCTTGCGTCTGGTTCGTCGTCCGTCCGTCCGTCCGTCTGTCCGTAAACAATTCTTGTTACCGCTATTTCTGGAAAAGTACTGGATGGATCTTTCTCAAATTTCATATGCAGGTTCCCCTTGGTCCCTAGTTGTGCATTGTACCTTTTTTGAACTGATTCGCATTCAAGATGGCCGACAGGTGGCCATCTTGGATTTTGGAAGTAAAAGTTTGTTACCGCTATTTCTGGAAAAGTACTGGATGGATCTTTCTCAAATTTCATATGCAGGTTCCCCTTGGTCCCTAGTTGTACATTGTACCTTTTTTGAACTGATTCGAATTCAAGATGGCCGACAGGTGGCCATCTTGGATTTTGGAAGTAAAAGTTTGTTACCGCTATTTCTGAGAAAGTACTAAATGGATCTTCCTCAAATTTCATATGCAGTTTCCCCTTGGTCCCTAGTTGTGCATTGTACCTTTTTTGGACTGATTCGAATTCAAAATGGCCGACAGGCAACCATCTTGGATTTTGGAAGTAAAAGTTTGTTACCGCTATTTCTGAGAAAGTACTAAATGGATCTTCCTCAAATTTCATATGCAGTTTCCCCTTGGTCCCTAGTTGTGCATTGTACCTTTTTTGGACTGATTTGAATTCAAGATGGCCGACAGGCAACCATCTTGGATTTTGGAAGTAAAAGTTTGTTACTGCTATTTCTTGGAAAGTACTGGATGGATCTTTCTCAAATTTCATATGAGTTTCCCCTTGGCCGACAGGCAACCATTTTGGATTTTGGAAGTAAAAGTTTGTTACTGCTATTTCTTGGAAAGTACTGGATGGATCTTTCTCAAATTTCATATGCAGTTTCCCCTTGGTCCCTAGTTGTGCATTGTACCTTTTTTGGACTGATTCGAATTCAAGGTGGCCGACAGGTGGCCATCTTGGATTTTGGATGTAAAAGTTTGTTACTGCTATTTCTTGGAAAGTACTGGATGGATCTTTCTCAAATTTCATATGCAGTTTCCCCTTGGTCCCTAGTTGTGCATTGTACCTTTTTTGGACTGATTCGAATTCAAGGTGGCCGACAGGTGGCCATCTTGGATTTTGGATGTAAAAGTTTGTTACTGCTATTTCTTGGAAAGTACTGGATGGATCTTTCTCAAATTCCATATGCAGTTTCCCCTTGGTCCCTAGTTGTGCATTGTACCTTTTTTGGACAGATTCGAATTCAAGATGGCGGACAGGTGGCCATCTTGGATTTTGGATGTAAAAGTTTGTTACTGCTATTTCTTGGAAAGTACTAAATGGATCTTTCTCAAATTTCATATGCAGTTTCCCCTTGGTCCCTAGTTGTGCATTGTACCTTTTTTGGACTGATTCGAATTCAAGGTGGCCGACAGGCAGCCATCTTGGATTTTGGAAGTAAATGTTTGTTACTGCTATTTCTTGGAAAGTACTGGATGGATCTTTCTCAAATTTCATATGCAGGTTCCCTTTGGTTCCAAGTTGTGCATTATACCTTTTTGGACTGATCCGAAATCAAGATGGCTGACAGGCAGCCATCTTGGATTTTGAGAGTAAAATCTTGTTACTGCTATATCTGAGGAAGTCCAGGATGGATCCTTCTGATATTTCATAGATATTGGTTTCCCTTGGTCCCTAGTTGTGCATTGTACCTTTTTTGGACTGATTTGAAATCAAGGTGGCCCACAGGCAGCCATCTTGGATTTTGAGAGTAAAATCTTGTTACTGCTATATCTGAGGAAGTCCAGGATGGATCCTTCTGATATTTCATAGATATTGGTTTCCCTTGGTCCCTAGTTGTGCATTGTACCTTTTTTGGACTGATTTGAAATCAAGGTGGCCCACAGGCAGCCATCTTGGATGTCGACAGTAATACAGCACAAGCATATTGTCCATTATCCACCTGTACCTGACTGCTATCTAATAATACCTTGGGATCTTTTTCAAATGATATTTGCTAATAGGTGCTTAATGAAAATATCTTGTGCCATCATTGAGTACATTCAATGAAGACCAGTTCATGAACATTTACAACACCTGTAACAAACAAAAAAAAATCTTCAAGAACTGAAAACAGATCCTCAAATGGTGGGCGCCAATATCCCTCTGGGATCTCTTGTTTACTTTCTAGATTGTTTATAAATATAAATTTTTGTGTTTTCGTTCTGAAGCTGTTAATGCAGCAACTCAGAGACTGGAAGAAAGACAGAAAATGGAGAAAGATTTGGAAGAAAAAGAAAAGAAATCAAGAGAAAGAAGAAAGCAACATAGAGATGAGTTAGCTGCCAAACATTTATCTCGAGAACGGGGACGAGTAAGTATAGTTTTTGTATTGTTTCCAGAAAGCGGAGAAAAATATTGTCAATAAAAGCAGTAAATAGTATTTCAGTGTCTAGTAATAAAGCTATATCTCCATCGGAGGTATAAACTCACTGTATTTATTGCTGTAGAGACTCTTGTTTGTTGATAGTAAAAGGAATCAGTTTTTTATCATCTTTTTATGACACAACAGTAATATATGTAGGATTTTTTCAAGTGAGTCAAGAATGCCAAAATTGTGATGAATCCATTGCCGAGAGACAAAATTGTGTCCCAAAATTGTGATGAATCCATTGCCGAGAGACAAAATTGTGTCCCAAAATTGTAATGAATCCATTGCCGAGAGACAAAATTGTGTCCCAAAATTGTGATGAATCCATTGCTGAGAGACAAAATTGGGTCCCAAAATTGTGATGAATCCATTGCAGAGAGACAAAATTGGGTCCCAAAATTGTGATGAATCCATTGCTGAGAGACAAAATTGGGTCCCAAAATTGTGATGAATCCATTGCAGAGAGACAAAATTGGGTCCCAAAATTGTGATGAATCCATTGCCGAGAGACAAAATTGGGTCCCAAAATTGTGATGAATCCATTGCCGAGAGACAAAATTGGGTCCCAAAATTTGAATCTCACAAGTAAAGCATGAGTCCAGTGTTTAATTATTCTAATCCCTAAAATCACTGCACAAATAAGTATTGTCTTATCTCTTTGTTGACAGTATATAAAGGGAAATAGAATGTTTTTTTTTAACTATTTATGTAGCGAGGTGATGAAGAGGAGGTGGACACTATGGCCCACATACAGCAGTGGGCGACTGAGGTGACCAATCATACACTGGCTGATCTGCTGACCGTAAGCGTGTTGGACACTGGGAGCCATACAGGTCAGTTGATGCGGTCAAATTCTTACTGTACCTCGATTAGTAAGCTGTGAATAATAGTGTTTTGTGAAGTCATGTATTGTGGTGTATTAGACACATTTTAAATTCGGTCAGTCTCACTGGTCAAGGGACAAGATCAAGGATATTGATGTATGTAAACTAGAGTGTTGTTCATCTGGCCACCTTAATAACCAGCAAAAGTGCATGGATTTTAAAACTAATGAAACACATATAAGCTTTGTTGAGAAAAGTTGAATTTAGAAATTTTTGAAAACTTAATGGAAAGTGAGAAAGCTGGATGAGTGATGTTGGATAGTGAAAAAACCACATTAATAGTGGCTGGAGTGATGTGGCTGGTCAGTAAGACAGCCAGATAAATGGTGGCTAGAGTGATGTGGCTGATCAGTGAGACAGCCAGATAAATGGTGGCTAGAGTGATGTGGCTGGTCAGTGAGACAAACAGATTAATGGTGGCTGGAGTGATGTGGCTGGTCAGTGAGACAGCCAGATAAATGGTGGCTGGAGTGATGTGGCTGGTCAATGAGAAAGCCAGATTGATGGTGGCTGGAGTGATGTGGCTGGTCAGTGAGAAAGCCAGATTGATGGTGGCTGGAGTGATGTGGCTGGTCAGTGAGAAAGCCAGATAAATGGTGGCTAGAGTGATGTGGCTGGTCAGTGAGACAAACAGATTAATGGTGGCTGGAGTGATGTGGCTGGTCAGTGAGACAAACAGATTAATGGTGGCTGGAGTGATGTGGCTGGTCAGTGAGAAAGCCAGATAAATGGTGGCTGGAGTGATGTGGCTGGTCAGTGAGAAAGCCAGATTGATGGTGGCTGGAGTGATGTGGCTGGTCAGTGAGAAAGCCAGATAAATGGTGGCTAGAGTGATGTGGCTGGTCAGTGAGACAAACAGATTAATGGTGGCTGGAGTGATGTGGCTGGTCAGTGAGACAGCCAGATAAATGGTGGCTGGAGTGATGTGGCTGGTCAGTAAGACAAACAGATTGATGGTGGCTGGAGTGATGTGGCTGATCAGTGAGAAAGCCAGATAAATGGTGGCTAGAGTGATGTGGCTGGTCAGTGAGAAAGCCAGATTGATGGTGGCTGGAGTGATGTGGCTGGTCAGTGAGAAAGCCAGATAAATGGTGGCTAGAGTGATGTGGCTGGTCAGTGAGACAAACAGATTAATGGTGGCTGGAGTGATGTGGCTGGTCAGTGAGACAGCCAGATAAATGGTGGCTGGAGTGATGTGGCTGGTCAGTGAGACAAACAGATTGATGGTGGCTGGAGTGATGTGGCTGATCAGTGAGAAAGCCAGATAAATGGTGGCTAGAGTGATGTGGCTGGTCAGTGAGAAAACCAGATTGATGGTGGCTGGAGTGATGTGGCTGGTCAGTGAGAAAGCCAGGTAAATGGTGGCTAGAGTGATGTGGCTGATCAGTGAGACAAACAGATTAATGGTGGCTGGAGTGATGTGGCTGGTCAGTGAGACAGCCAGATAAATGGTGGCTGGAGTGATGTGGCTGGTCAATGAGAAAGCCAGATTGATGATGGCTGGAGTGATGTGGCTGGTCAGTGAGAAAACCAGATTGATGGTGGCTGGAGTGATGTGGCTGGTCAGTGAGAAAACCAGATTGATGGTGGCTGGAGTGATGTGGCTGGTCAGTGAGAAAGCCAGATTGATGGTGGCTGGAGTGATGTGGCTGGTCAGTGAGAAAGCCAGATAAATGGTGGCTAGAGTGATGTGGCTGGTCAGTGAGACAAACAGATTAATGGTGGCTGGAGTGATGTGGCTGGTCAGTGAGACAAACAGATTAATGGTGGCTGGAGTGATGTGGCTGGTCAGTGAGAAAGCCAGATAAATGGTGGCTGGAGTGATGTGGCTGGTCAGTGAGAAAGCCAGATTGATGGTGGCTGGAGTGATGTGGCTGGTCAGTGAGAAAGCCAGATAAATGGTGGCTAGAGTGATGTGGCTGGTCAGTGAGACAAACAGATTAATGGTGGCTGGAGTGATGTGGCTGGTCAGTGAGACAGCCAGATAAATGGTGGCTGGAGTGATGTGGCTGGTCAGTGAGACAAACAGATTGATGGTGGCTGGAGTGATGTGGCTGATCAGTGAGAAAGCCAGATAAATGGTGGCTAGAGTGATGTGGCTGGTCAGTGAGAAAACCAGATTGATGGTGGCTGGAGTGATGTGGCTGGTCAGTGAGAAAGCCAGGTAAATGGTGGCTAGAGTGATGTGGCTGATCAGTGAGACAAACAGATTAATGGTGGCTGGAGTGATGTGGCTGGTCAGTGAGAAAACCAGATTGATGGTGGCTGGAGTGATGTGGCTGGTCAGTGAGAAAGCCAGATAAATGGTGGCTGGAGTGATGTGGCTGGTCAGTGAGAAAACCAGATTGATGGTGGCTGGAGTGATGTGGCTGGTCAGTGAGAAAACCAGATTGATGGTGGCTGGAGTGATGTGGCTGGTCAGTGAGAAATCCAGATTAATGGTGGCTGGAGTGATGTGGATGGTCAGTGAGACAAACAGATTAATGGTGGCTGGAGTGATGTGGCTGGTCAGTGAGAAAGCCAGATAAATGGTGGCTGGAGTGATGTGGCTGGTCAGTGAGAAAGCCAGATTGATGGTGGCTGGAGTGATGTGGCTGATCAGTGAGAAAGCCAGATAAATGGTGGCTAGAGTGATGTGGCTGGTCAGTGAGACAAACAGATTAATGGTGGCTGGAGTGATGTGGCTGGTCAGTGAGACAGCCAGATAAATGGTGGCTGGAGTGATGTGGCTGGTCAGTGAGACAGCCATATTTAAATATGAAAGTTAAGTAATGGTACATGTGCTTTTATTGAAAATCTCATTGACATTTCAAGAATTTGATATATTATATAGAAAATCTCATTCAGTTCTTCAAAACCTTTAGATTCTCTTATAATGTAAGGACCTTGAATTCGTCATTTTTTTATGGCTAAGGAAAGATGTGCAAATATTAGTGTGAGATTGTTGTTGTTATAGATGAGGTAGAGGCTAATGGACAAAATGTTCCAACTTCTGGTGATCTGAAGGATGAAGGATCTAGACCATTCTACAGCAGACGTACCCCTAAAGTGTCCAGTAGACAGAGTATAGCTCTCCCTTCAAGTGATGTCACCAAGGAAAACCCTAGTAAGACTCATTGCTGTTGAGCACTTTTTTAGTTTCGTATGTTCCTGACATTGGTGTAAAAACTTCTCCCTCATTATTGTGACAAAGAAATTAAGGCTGTATGCTGCCTTTTTATGACATGAACCTCCTCATTTAAACAAGCAGATAAGTGATATAGAGATATATGTGAAGATGTTTATATCTGTAGGAATATCACTCCAGGTTTCCTTGGTATAAGCATTTTTATCACTGTTAATTGAAACAGAACACAAGAAAATATCTTTATTCCTTTTTGTTTAGATAAATTTCTTGTATCGTCCTCACTGAGAATTTCTTCAAGACCTCCAAAACACAGCTCTACAAAGCAGGGTTCATCCACGGCTGTCCGCGACCTTGAGCAGCAGGTAAACTTCTTGTCTTTCAAAAATCATTGAAAAGAAAAATTATGAAATATAATGACAATTTCATTTGGTAGCTGGTAAAAATCATGTTTGTTGCTATGTCAGATTCAGTCCCTGCAGGACCGTGCAATGTCGGGAGAACTCATCACCATGGACCTAGTGAGAGACCTCCAAAACCGATTGGTTCAAGTGGAAAACCAAGTAACCAATCAGAAGTTAGAGCAGTTTTCAAAATCCCTTGGAAAGAACCAATCAACTGATGTCACAAACTCCAATCTTGGGAATGAAATCACAAGGTTGAATTTGGATGATGATTCGTCAAGGTCAGATGTTGACGACAACCGGGGTTCAAGGTTAAAACAGGAGGAAAGCAACAGTTTATTTGAAGATACAGTTACTGTTCACAGCAATGAAAGTGAAGATGATATTGAAGATGATATTAGTATGATGAAAGAACAAATAAAAATAAGGAATTCTTATCATAGAAATACAAGATCTTCTACCGTTTCCATGTCGATGAGTAAACAAGCTTTACTGTCTGAAATCAAGAAAGAAAAAGCACAACATAGAAAACAGATCAGGTGAGTTTTTTATAATCATGTTGGTTAAGACTTGAACCCTAGATCAATCATTTAGCCAGTGATTTTTATGGGGATGATATTTTAGCAGTTTTGCGTTACATTTACATGATCATGAAAATTTAATCCATGAATTAATGACATGCGTTTATTCAATGTTCTTTTTAATCCAGATAACAAAATTTTAATTTGTTGAAATATAATTCAATCGTTTAAAAAAGTAAATTGTGAAAGTTTTGACCCTTGAAAATGATACGCTATATTTCATATCAATTAGAAATCTGTGCAATTTAACTCTCAAAGTTTTATGTCACATGTGATCAGGTGTTGCGACAGATTGAGGGAACAATAGTGGTTTGTTAGTCCATATATGACTGTAAACATTTGAAGTTAGTGAGTTTATAATGTGAGACATCAACATTGCGAAAACTTCCTCAACATCCCTGAATCACTGAAAGATTTTTTGTTGTTTTTTTACCATTATGTTTTTGTTGGTTTTTTTTTTTCATCATTACTTTGTTTTGGTCTTTGTTTGGCAAACAACAGCTATAGGTTTTTTCACATAAATACTTTTCTGTAATACTGTGAAGTAATTGTCAATGGAAATGAAGATTAAATCACAAATGTGTTTGATAAAAAAATATCAGATATCCCATCAAAATAAAATTGGTGTGATAGTCTATATGGATAGAACAAGGCTAAGTCATCAGCCATGCCTGGTTTTATTGTGATATCATGTGAATATAACTTCAAATTTTTCTTTTTGTGTCTCGGACCATCATCAGGAAAAAAAATCATTGCTATATACAGTGTATATATGTGTGTTTTTCTGGTTTTTTTCTCAGACACTTGAATTCAGAACTAAACAGGATACGCCAAACTGAACCTGTTCGAAGCATAGAGGTGGATCGTAATGATGTTCAGTTTGATGAACAAGGTAATCAGTTTTTCTAATGCCATGCTATTCTTTACAGCAGTCTCTTGTGTGTTATACAAAGTTATATTTATACCATGTGACTTGTGTGTTATACAGATCTGTGATTGTGTGTTATACAGATCTGATAGTGAACATTCTCTCAGGTATATATTTATACCATGTGACTTGTGTGTTATACAGATCTGATTGGTGAGTGACACATTCTCTCAATGTATATATTTATACCATGTGACTTGTGTGTTGGGTAGAACATCTGATATATTTATACCATGTGACTTGTGTGTTAACATTCTCTCAGGTATATATTTATACCATGTGATGTGACTTGTGTGTTATACAGATCTGATAGGGAACGTTCTCTCAGGTATATATTTATACCATGTGACTTGTGTGTTATACAGATCTGATTGGTGAGGGAACATTCTCTCAGGTATATATTTATACCATGTGACTTGTGTGTTATACAGATCTCATAGTGAACATTCTCTCAGGTATATATTTATACCATGTGACTTGTGTGTTATACAGATCTGATTGGTGAGGGAACATACTCTCAGGTATATATTTATACCATGTGACTTGTGTGTTATACAGATCTGATTGGTGAGGGAACATTCTCTCAGGTATATATTTATACCATGTGACTTGTGTGTTATACAGATCTGATTGGTGAGGGAACATTCTCTCAGGTATATATTTATACCATGTGACTTGTGTGTTATACAGATCTGATTGGTGAGGGAACATTCTCTCAGGTATATATTTATACCATGTGACTTGTGTGTTATACAGATCTGATTGGTGTGAGTGTTATACAGAACATTCTCTCAGGTATATATTTATACCATGTGACTTGTGTGTTATACAGATCTGATTGGTGAGGGAACATTCTCTCAGGTATATATTTATACCATGTGACTTGTGTGTTATACAGATCTGATTGGTGAGGGAACATTCTCTCAGGTATATATTTATACCATGTGACTTGTGTGTTATACAGATCTGATTGGTGAGGGAACATTCTCTCAGGTATATATTTATACCATGTGACTTGTGTGTTATACAGATCTCATAGTGAACATTCTCTCAGGTATATATTTATACCATGTGACTTGTGTGTTATACAGATCTGATTGGTGAGGGACCCTACTCTCAGGTATAAATTTATACCATGTGACTTGTGTGTTATACAGATCTGATTGGTGAGGGAACATTCTCTCAGGTATATATCTATACCATGTGACTTGTGTGTTATACAGATCTGATTGGTGAGGGAACATTCTCTCAGGTATATATTTATACCATGTGACTTGTGTGTTATACAGATCTGATTGGTGAGGGAACATTCTCTCAGGTATATATTTATACCATGTGACTTGTGTGTTATACAGATCTGATTGGTGAGGGAACATTCTCTCAGGTATATATTTATACCATGTGACTTGTGTGTTATACAGATCTGATTGTTGAGGGAACATTCTCTCAGGTATATATTTATACCATGTGACTTGTGTGTTATACAGATCTTTATTGGTGAGGGAACGTTCTCTCAGGTATATATTTATACCATGTGACTTGTGTGTTATACAGATCTGATTGGTGAGGGAACGTTCTCTCAGGTATATATTTATACCATGTGACTTGTGTGTTATACAGATCTCATAGTGAACATTCTCTCAGGTATATATTTATACCATGTGACTTGTGTGTTATACAGATCTGATTGATGAAGGAACATTCTCTCAGGTATATATTTATACCATGTGACTTGTGTGTTATACAGATCTGATTGGTGAGGGAACATTCTCTCAGGTATATATTTATACCATGTGACTTGTGTGTTATACAGATCTGATTGGTGAGGGAACATTCTCTCAGGTATATATTTATACCATGTGACTTGTGTGTTATACAGATCTGATTGGTGAGGGAACATTCTCTCAGGTATATATTTATACCATGTGACTTGTGTGTTATACAGATCTGATTGGTGAGGGAACATTCTCTCAGGTATATATTTATACCATGTGACTTGTGTGTTATACAGATCTCATAGTGAACATTTTCTCATGTATATATTTATACCATGTGACTTGTGTGTTATACAGATCTCATAGTGAACATTCTCTCAGGTATATATTTATACCATGTGACTTGTGTGTTATACAGATCTGATTGGTGAGGGAACATTCTCTCAGGTATATATTTATACCATGTGACTTGTGTGTTATACAGATCTGATTGGTGAGGGAACATTCTCTCAGGTATATATTTATACCATGTGACTTGTGTGTTATACAGATCTGATAGGAAACATTCTCTCAGGTATATATTTATACCATGTGACTTGTGTGTTATACATTTATATATTTATACCATGTGACTTGTGTGTTATACAGATCTGATTGGTGAGGGAACATTCTCTCAGGTATATATTTATACCATGTGACTTGTGTGTTATACAGATCTGATTGTGTGTTATACAGATCTGGAACATTCTCTCAGGTATATATTTATACCATGTGACTTGTGTGTTATACAGATCTGATTGGTGAGGGAACATTCTCTCAGGTATATATTTATACCATGTGACTTGTGTGTTATACAGATCTGATTGGTGAGGGAACATTCTCTCAGGTATATATTTATACCATGTGACTTGTGTGTTATACAGATCTGATTGGTGAGGGAACATTCTCTCAGGTATATATTTATACCATGTGACTTGTGTGTTATACAGATCTGATTGGTGAGTGACTTGTGTGTTATACAGATCTGATTGGTGAGGGAACTCTCAGGTATATATTTATACCATGTGACTTGTGTGTTATACAGATCTGATTGGTGAGGGAACATTCTCTCAGGTATATATTTATACCATGTGACTTGTGTGTTATACAGATCTCATAGTTAACATTCTCTCAGGTATATATTTATACCATGTGACTTGTGTGTTATACAGATCTGATTGGTGAGGGTGTGTTAACATTCTCTCAGGTATATATTTATACCATGTGTGTGTTACTTGTGTGTTATATTTATACCATGTACAGATCTGATTGGTATATATTTATACCATGTGAGTGTGTTAACATTCTCTCAGGTATATATTTATACCATGTGACTTGTGTGTTATACAGATCTGATTGGTGAGGGAACATTCTCTCAGGTATATATTTATACCATGTGACTTGTGTGTTATACAGATCTGATTGGTGAGGGAACATTCTCTCAGGTATATATTTATACCATGTGACTTGTGTGTTATACAGATCTGATTGGTGAGGTATATATTTATACCATGTGACTTGTGTGTTATACATTCTCTCTCAGGTATATATTTATACCATGTGACTTGTGTATTATACAGATCTCATAGTGAACATTCCCTCAGGTATATATTTATACCATGTGACTTGTGTGTTATACAGATCTGATTGGTATATATTTATACCATGTGACTTGTGTGTTATACAGATCTCTTCTCTCAGGTATATATTTATACCATGTGACTGTGTGTTATACAGATCTGATTGGTGAGCATTGTGTGTATATATTTATACCATGTGACTTGTGTGTTTTACTGATCTGATTGGTGAGATCTCATAGTGAACATTCTCTCAGGTATATATTTATACCATGTGACTTGTGTGTTATACAGATCCATGTGACTTGTGTGTTATACAGATCTGATTGGTGAGGGAACATTCTCTCAGGTATATATTTATACCATGTGACTTGTGTGTTATACAGATCTGATTGGTACACTAATCAAAGCATTTTTGAATGATATCATTTAACTGTCATTGACATTGTACTAAATATTGTAATTTAAAGAACTCTTCTCAAAATTTGTTCTTTAAGCTCAAGTCACATGTTTGTAAATGTAAAAAGTGATAATATAAAGGTGTACTGTTGTATAACAGAGAGCCCCTGGATCATGCTGAGTATTTCCGTATCTCTCACGACATCGCTCTCGGGATGGCCTACCTCCATCAACAAAAACCAGCAGTTCTGCACCTCGATCTCAAATCCATGAACGTCCTCATCTGTAGTAATGACCGCGCAAAGATTGCGGACTTTGGCTTCTCAAAATTAAGGTAGGCTTGCTATTGTTATAGTGAATTAGCTGGTGCTTGAAGAAATATGTGATCTCAGTAGCTTGTCATTGCGTTAGTTATACACATATTGTTGTAGCTAATACAAGGTATTTAGTGTTGTAAATTAAATGATGTATTGTCTTGCTGTTGTTTGCTTCGAGATATCTTTCAATTTTTTTAAAATGATCAGTTTTGCATGTCAATATTTAACAAAACATAAATTGAATTCATTGAGTAACTGAAACGTCTGTAACAAAAGTGAAACTTGTTTAATCTGACATATGTAGGTCACATTTATAGAATCATTCACCCCCTCATTGGGGGATCTTAACCCAAAGGGAAAGATTAAAAAGTTGGCGAAAATTTGGCTTACCTAGTGTTTAAAACTTAATAACCTTTCCTCAAGAAATGAGATCTCCCTATCTCACCAACAAGGAGTGAATTATAGATTTTCTCTCACCCTGCTTGCCTCCTCATTAGGTATTCATTGTTAACATTATGTAGGGGAATTTAACCCATCTAATTTGACACCCTGTTTCACTCTACAAATTGGTCATGTTTAGCTCTATATCTTAATATTATTATTTAGTAGAGTTTTTTGTACAGAAAAAATTGATATTTTAAGAAGACACTTAAAACAATGACAGAATACTCAAGGTCTGGATAAGACAGGCTTCACTTTGACCTAATGTACCTTTATTTGTTAGATCTGTTTTAGATATGAATTGTCAATGTATAATATTTCCTACACTTTATGATTTCTTTGATAATTTTAATTAATATTTTCAAATCAAATAGCAACATCTCTTTTCTGTCTTCTTGTTCAAGGAAACAAAGGATTTGAATAAATCTGAGACAAACTGTTTAGTAATAAGTCTTTAACTTTGTTTTCAGACAAGCACCGCTACAGCTAATACGAAAGTACAAATGTCAATAACTGCTGCACGCCACACATGTTTGATGTTAAACTTTGCATTATACATGTAACACACATACACACACACACCCTAACATGATGTCTATTTCACCATGTGGCTTCTGTGTGTGTGTGCATTTTGAGTGGACACTTTATTGCTAGAAACTGTAAGCTAGATAGAAAGAAATCTGTCCCTGAAATGAAATATAAAGAAGGTGACTTAAAGAAAAATTTTAATTTTCCACAGCTGATAACAAATATTTTATTCTAAAGATTTGAATTATACTACTGTCTAACATGAAATGTTCCTGAGTGTTTTACATTGAAAACATCTTTTTAAATATTGTTGATATCACATATAGGAAACTACTGTAAAAGCATATTTTTGCAGGCTCATTTTTCATTGATTAAAACCCCTTTGAAAAGTAAAGATTACACAGTACAGGCAATTCTTTCCTCTGAAGTTTTATTTGTCATGTTTTATTTTTGTGTTTTATCTGTAGCTATAAAAACATAGAAAGATTTATATTTTTACATCTACATGAGATTACTTCAAACCATAGAGATATAGAGCTTTTCTTAGAATCAGTATAATGATATTTCATGTCCATATCTAAAATACATTGATTTCCTTATGTAAATGTTGTTAACGTATGCTTTCAAAATAGTTGTAACATGATTTTACAGGTCATGATGGTAAAGATTCTGTTATTCTTCAGAGGAAATTTCTTTTTCTTCTTACTCCAGAGAAATTATGATTAATTACATACACCTTACCTTTATCTCTCTACCAGGGATAGATTTGTGTATCTTGTCTGTTTTACAATAAAAAATCATGAAATAAATAGGAAATAATTACCAAATATGGTAACATATGCTGACTTTGCTGAATCCTGACTCAGAATTTTCCTGCACTGCATGATCTATAAAAAAAGTTCCTCCTACTTTGGTGGGCAAGAGAAACTGCTTCTGGTCCACATCATTTTGCTGTTGCATGTGAAAAACTCATCAAAATAGTACACATATTTGACAAGAACATTTTGGAGTTTGTGATGAGTTTGTTCAGCATGATGATTGTATCGCGTGTGTTGTAGCCATGATTTAGTGGACAAATGGTGGCCTAAACACTTATTTGAGTTGGCTTTAGCTTTAATTGTTTTCTTGGATTATAGTTGTATGGTAGTCCAGGGGATTACCTATTCAATGATCAATAAAAATGGAATCATTTATTCTGCTAAAATTTGGATTTAGTAATGTTAAGTTTAAAGTGTATGAAATAAACATTTGGTTGACCTTGACTTGTTTGTTTCTACATATTTTGTAACCTCTACACTGCACAGTGATCTCGCAAATTATTTATCTGGGATGCTCAATCTATCTTAGGCTTTGTCTCTTCTCCACTGGGCCGCATGTTATGATTAATGAAATACTTTACAGTATTATAGAGCAATCGACTCTGTATTGTGTGATTTTAATGGACCTGTCTTGATGGGGTATATATATTGTATTGTCTAGCTGTTCTTGTTTAGGACAACAACATTTCTTAATATTGTTGAAAACATTGATATAAAAATATTATAATTGTTAATTAGCTCTCACTAGTAGATAAATTTTGTAAATATTTTAAAAGCTATTATCACAGTACTGGTATGCCAAGAGTTGAACTTTTAAAATGGTGATAGAAGTTGGAATATGTATTGCTTGTTTGGATCGTCATTTCATGAAGGCATTATGTTGGTACAATGTTTCTAGACTCTATTTCACAAAGGTCAAAGATCAGTATTCAACTGCTTATTAGGTGTCAAACTTACTTGTCACATATACTGTAGCATTGAAACTCATAGAAATATACATTATAGAACTTCACTTCGAGGTTAAACTGTTTAGTGGAGGTCAAATTTCAATTTCAGTATTATTTTTTTTTCATATTGATTTTATCAAAGATACAATATGTAAATATACCTGTATTTCATTTATGGTACCAAGAAATTAATTATAATGAAACATAAAATTCATTTGATGAGAGAAAATGATTGCATCCTTGAAAATGTGATATAAATTTCAACACATAATTTATGGAATCATACAATTTACTATATAAAGTATGTTAAGAATATGTGTCTGTTATAAATGAAATTAAAAATTAAAACCATTTTCTGACACATTATGCTAAAATAAGGGTGGCAAATTGGGGTGTCATAGATATGTAAATCACTAGATATGTTGTATAAATACTGATACAAGCTCTGACTACTGTTATGCTCATGCTGCACATATTAGGAAGTTGTAATAAAAACAAAAGAAATTTGCTATAATTTTAAATTCAATTTGCAGATATGATGCTAACTTGAATGCAACAAAAACATCAAAAACAAAACCAGTACATGGGAGTCCTGCATGGATTGCACCAGAACTACTGGAAACAGGGGAGGTAACTCCCAAGGCTGATGTATACAGCTTTGGTATTATACTGTGGGAAATGTTGACGAGAAAGCAGCCATATGATGGATGTTCCGTGTTTCAGGTATGTTGTGATAACATGTAAGTAAATATACACTGGAATCACAAGCTTGGTGATCTTTCAGAATTACATCACTGAAGTTTTGTAACATTTTATGTTATCATTGGTATAGTGACTACATGGAAACATTATACAGTTGTAGCTCTGATAAATAATAACCAAAATATCCTGCTTGGCTGTAGAGATGTTCTATTTAGCTTGATCAGTTCACTGTAATACTAGCACATCAAGTATCCCAGGTATGAATCCTATAACATAACAATACCATGTATTGATGTACTTGTGTTATATAGATGGTATTGGAGTGATGGAAATTGTAGCATTGATATGGAAATAATAGTTATGGAATTTGGATGTAAGAATCATGGTATGGTGTGTTGTGATATGGAGAACAGTTTGTATTGACTGTTGTCCCACAATAATAACCTTTGTTGCTAATTGTAAAGGTCCTGGAGAGAGTAAGGTTGAACAAGAGACCGGAGATACATCCAAGTTGTCCTGAACAACTCTCTAAATTTATTCAGCAGTGTTGGGCACCTGTCCCTGCCAAACGACCTCCATTCAAGGTAAAACAAAGCATTAAAAAGTACTGTCAAGATACCACAAAAATGAAATCAAAGGAAAAAATCACAGGCAGTTTTATGATATCTGTAAACAATACATTGTTTTTCTCTTCAAGAATTTGGTTTAATTATGAAAGTTTGAAATATCAAAATAAACATATTTTACAGCAGCTGAAAATCTTGTAATCATTTCAAACAGGTAATATATTACAGTGTTCTGATGTCCTCTCTGTTTCCTTGGGGATAGGGTTCACTTCCAGCTACACTGTTGCATCATGAGTATTTCAGAATTAGTGACATGTTTTGAGAATTTCTCAACAGTATTGTTCATGTTAAACCCTTAGTATCATAATGTCAAGTTCTATACCTTACCATATCATGGTGGACATCAGTCAAAGTTATAAGGCCAAAGGTCATGTTTTATATCTGTCATGTATGTATTGGTTGATGGCCATTCATGTTCTTTCTGTGAACAGGTGGTAAACCACTGGAATTCACTTCCTAATGCCGTTGTAACGTCACCAACGATCAAAACATTTGAATCCCGATTGGATAATCATTGGAGGCAAACTGAATGTGTTTATAATCATGAACTAGACAATAACACACTGATCCATATTTGGGATACTAACTCTTTAAATTCTGGATATATAGGCTTGATAAGCCTGCGTCCAGTTTATTATTATTATTATTATGTTTTACAGACATTTTCTAGTTTTTCAAGAAATCTTGTTTCTCTTTGAAGGAAATCTCACCTAAATAAGAACTATATTCCATTTGTGTGTTATATCAGTGTCTGAAAATTTGAAATAATAAGAAATAGTGTGACATTAATTTTATTTAATTCTTTTTTTTACAATAGGATATTCTGACACAGTTGGAAGATATGACTTTCCCATCTGAGTGGCAGGATTTGTTTCGGGTTGCAGGAGTTCCGCCCGAGGCACTTGAGGATGTACACTCAACTCGAACCATAATCAGTCTTGTCACAAATTCTCTAGACACAGCAAATGCCAAAAGTCTTATTGAGGATATAAAACTTAAACGATCATTCGGTACCTACGTAGAGGACAGACCATATACAGACACCCAGGGCCCTCTATCACCCAATCAAAGTGATCATACCAAAACGTCGACAGAGATTAGGCCAACATGTTCTACTAGGAAATCTCAGGACATTTTAAATGAGGTGCTTCAGTCAAGAGACTTGAGCCCAAGAAAAATAAATTCCAGTCGATCTCCAAGAGAACATTTAGCACAAATGAATAAAAGTGAAACACGCCGAAAACCTGTTGAACCCCTTGTTATTCCAACAGGGAAAGACGATAGCTCCCAAGGTACACCTAGATCCGTCAGTCTTAGTTCACCAGACACAAAACCTCTAGGAAGTAGTCGTGGCTCTCCAGACACAGCTACACCTCTCAGGAACAGTCAGGACCTTAGGACCAGTTCTCCAGACACAGCTACATCTCTCAGGAACAGTCAGGACCTTAGGACCAGTTCTCCAGACACAGCTACACCTCTCAGGAACAGTCAGGACCTTAGGACCAGTTCTCCAGACACACAGATGAGGACAGAAAAAGTCAGAAACAGTGTTGCTTCAGAAACTGACAAGTCAGTAAGAAAGAGCCTTGCTGCAGAAATTGATACATACCAGAAACAGTTCAGTGTAAGGAAAAGTTTCACAAGTACAGAAGGTTGCTCTGATGTCAAACATTCCTATGATGTCAAAAATCCTATGGTTTCAAATTCTCCAAGAAAGCAGATTAATTCTTTGCATTCCGATTGTGATAATAAATCCAGAAATGCAAGTAACAATTCTGTTTATTTAATGAGTTCAAGGAGAGAGAAAAATGATTTCAAAACAGATGAGACGAAAGAACTCCAAAACAGTGATGTCGTGGAGCTCAAGAGAAATCAGGATTTGAATAAAAATGTTATGAGCGACACCTGCAAAAGTACTGATGCACAGAAGAAAGGTGTAGATTTAAGACAAAGTTTACTTAGTGAAGTGAGAAATAGTAAAAACATATTAAAGGGCAGTGTTCAAAATGTAACTCCAAAATCACATAATCAGAAGGGTTCAAGTGTCCAATCCAGTATACAAAAAACACCAAGATTGCAAAAAGATGGAAATGTATTCCAACGTCAAGTCATAGATACACAGAACTCTCTCAGGAAAAGTTTACAAAAAAGCCCGCCATCTGCAGCAAGAATGATGGAGGTTGACCCTCGTGGGGCGGTGATCGATCCTATCAAAACACCAGCAGCTATTCAGAATCAAAGAAAGGTGATTCGGAATATAAGTCGGGACAGTCTCAATATGTCGCAGGATGTAGAGTTACAAAGCGTGGGCAGTATTGATGATGATAGTTTAGATTCTCCACAGTTACGAGACAGTCTAGAAGAGAATTTTGAGAACAAAGCAAAGACTAGTTCTCATGTCTGTATAGACAGAAGTCCTCGACCACAAATGAAGCCTAAACCTACAGGATTGAAATCAGACAAAAACACTGTGAAAACTTTAGACCCAGAACAAGTTAGTGGAAAGTCAAGAGCATCTACAAACTGGATGGCCGAGTTAAGTTTTAAACTCCAGAATTTGGGAAATTTCTCCGACCTGGAGAATTCTCCAGATGTGATCACATCAGGAAAGACACTTTCCTCACAGTCTGATGAACTGAAGTGGAAACCAGACAGGACAGGTAACAGTGTCACAGGAAATGTTCATTATCCTACATACAAGTCTAATAACAATGTATCTCCTCACTCAAAACATGTGTCTAGTCCTTATAAAGCAAATCTACAAAATGGTGCTGAAGATGAATGTGTCACATCTGAGCCTTCTCAGCCACAGATCCCAGCGCCCCCACCCCCACCCCCACCCCCACCTCCTGTTATCTCAGCGACAGGTGGCAAGAAACAGATTATAAAGCCTGCCATTGTCTCAAAAGACCTCCCACAGCCATCCAGGGCGACAAACCGTGGACTGCAGTGTGGTGTTCCTCAGATAGAGAATGTGGACAATTCTCCAATGTTGTTGAAGTCCAAGGAACTGCGTGATCAGAAAGACATCCTACAGTCAACCTCCAAACCTCACCCTAGTCAGCTCCACGACCTTCGACATGTCAAAAAGAGTACCATGGTGTCCATCGCTGAAATACTCAAAAAGGTCAGATATGTACATGTTTTGTTGCATCGTCAGGCATACAAAGCCTTTGTCACTAGGATTTACAATATTGTATATTCCTGTATATCATTGAAGAGAAAAATATTTTATACTATTTGATATCACTTCATGTGTATGATAGCTAGAGTGTTGAGGTTTTCATTCGATTTTGAATAAATTAATTTCTAGCAGAACAGGATTTTATTTTAAAGCTGTCACATCTGACATTGTTTAGTTATGACTTCACAATAGTGTTATATTTACAACATGAGTATATTGCGTATGTGTTACCCCAACAGCTTCCTTAGTAGATTTTTAATAGATTTGATATGGGCAGACATGTTAGGTGCACAATGTACATGTATTTCTTGACAAATTTTTCCTTAGTGACAAGTTGTAGGTATCTGATAATAAATCTGTGATAAATAACAACCCCATGTATCCATATCTAATGATTTTCACCAGAAATGCCTACAAATGTTGTTTCATTGAACTGGTTCTTTGAATCAATGGCTATCTTGTGGTCATATGTTCATGCTGAATTGTGATTTGTTTGTAGGCTGTGTCCAGCCGGCGGATGGCATTAGGAGAAGACCCGAACAGTCCTCCACAGTCAGTGGCTAGTAGCTGGTCAATCATGGATGACTGACCACATGTCCAAAATACCAAAGGATTTGTATGACTCTTCCATCGTTTAGGACAGCCCCATCGTGACATCTCCAGTTACCATGGTGACAGTGGAATCTGGTCTTTATGAAAAATACTACTCATTACAATCAGTTCACATGAATGTTACATTTTAAAAGATGAACCTGAAAAATTTGTTGAAATTGGTTTTGTTTAATGTTTACACTTATCCAGAATTTGTTATGTTTATGACACAATCATAGGGCTGGTGAAAGGTTTCATACAGAATACTGTAACTAGCTGTAAAACTTAGGACAACTTCTGATGTAAACTTTACTGAAAAAACAAGAAAAGTGATTTATAATTCCAACCTTTAATTCTCCAAAAACAAAAACAGAAAAGAAAAAACCCAAAAAACAGAAATTCTGAATTAGATTCATATTCTCAGTTTTCATATTTCAGAATTCCTCTTTGTTGAATTCAATAGAAGTATAAGATACTGATGTTAGGTATTGAATATTTATTATGTGAACAATTTTGTATGATTTAAGTAAGTTTTAAATACATTGGAAATGGCTCATTTGTAATTAATAGACCTTATATATGATATGGATAAAAACTGTATTTAAGGAGATTTTTCTTTCTTTCTTTTTGTCTAAGTATAAACAAAATCGTTCAATTCTTTCGTTATATTAAAGAATTATGATACAACTAATACAGTGCCAGAATTTAATTTTGGAAATACAAACTAGTGTGACTTCTGTTTGTTTGAAAAATGAGGCCCTACTAATCGAAACAGAAAGTGTTTCAAACTACGTGTATACTCGTATGTTACAGCATGGCTTTAAAAATCCCGTAAAAGTTGTGATGTGTTGATGATGTTTTCAATAGAAATACTGACCTATCTGTGTGATATTGTTTGCTAGTATTATAAAAACATGCCTGAATTGCTGAGCATATGTAAACAAACATTGTTTTGTATTACTGTGTAATTATGATGCTTAGATCTAAATGATTATTTATTATTAAAGATTCTGTTACATATTTATATTCTGTATAGATTAAGTATACTTTGTGATATTACATTTGTCTCATTATGTTTGAGTTACCTATCATTGTCAGAGACTATGTCGTCAGTAGTGTAATGTCTTGTTGTATGATTGAGAGAGAAATTGTGAGACATGAGGTGTACGGATGACAGAATTTCTTTGCCCCAGTCTGCGTCCAGAGGTTACAAGAATCTCATTTTTTCACTTTAGTTGATTTTATCTGTGTTGGCAACCTTGAAAAATGGGCTTCTTTATCTGTACACTGGGTATAATGTAATCCATGATATAGCAGAGTGAAAATATTTCACAATATTTAAATTATATCATTGTTTTAGTTAGATAGTCAAATAGGTAACTTTATTCATGTATGTATGCATCAATACATGTCAATTCTCTTTATTACACAGGAGTGATTTACTGAAAATTTTAACATTCCGATATATCTTATATACATCCCGTCATTGTCCCGTTGATAAGTTGTTTATTGTGTTTTTCATTTAGTTTTTACATTGTGTTCATCCTTTACTTGTGTCCGTCCAGTAAATTTTTCTGTTTTCTGTTCCGACATATATACATCCCGTCATTGTCCCGTTGATAAGTTGTTTATTGTGTTTTTCATTTAGTTTTTACATTGTGTTCATCCTTTACTTGTGTCCGTCCAGTAAATTTTTCTGTTTTCTGTTCCGACATATATACATCCCGTCATTGTCCCGTTGATAAGTTGTTTATTGTGTTTTTCATTTAGTTTTTACATTGTGTTCATCCTTTACTTGTATCCGTCCAGTAAATTTTCTGTTTTCTGTTCCAACATATATACATCCCGTCATTAATCCCTCTAATTTGAGTTGTTTATTGTGTTTTTCATTTAGTTTTTACATTGTGTTCATCCTATACTTGTGTCCGTCCAGGTACATGTTCAATTACTCTGTCCATTGCAGAACAGAAACGACAAATTAAATATTGTATTTATTTTCTATTTTATCCGTCCCCAAGAAAAATGACCAGATGTCTTGTATTTGTTATTTAATAGGATTGATTTCAATGTACATTTTGTGTACAGGAACAATTTATTGAAAAATAAAAGGATACATATTTAGGTTTTAAATTGGAAACAGAATTGTTTTCTGTCCAGCCTCTGTGTTAGGATGTAAACTTGTAATCATAATTTAAAGTACATAATAAGGCCCCACCTGTCTACCATACATCTTATTCAAATCATAATAACTTGCCTACCTCTATTTTTTCTGAATATAATTTTCTTAATCACTTTTGCACTTTGGAGTAGATTGTGATAATCTGTTGATGGTAAACTGTTCTCTATAAATGTCCTGTAGATATATAGATCTATGGAGTAGACCTTTGGTCCATATTCTGTATAATTTTGTCATTCATTTTCACTTTCCATCTTTACCGTGAACATTCCCAAACTACAGCATTTTAAATGTTTCTTCACTTGAAAGTTTTTTATTTATATGTCTTTGTACAGACTGAGATATATCTGGTCAATTTAGATGCCGTAAGTTTGAGATATATACACATGTACTTTTTAAATAATTTTTTCTCCATTTTAAAATACCCATAACATATGGAGGATCAGATACTCGTAGAATGATTTCTCATGTAGAAATACCAACATTCCGTAATCACTTCTAGTCACTGAAAAATTGTTTTACACTGCACAGTCTGTTAAGTTTTATACAGTTTTTAAAAATGATGTTTTGTTACATAGGTAGTTTAATTAGTCTGTGGTGTATTTATCAATAATGAGTCCCTGAATAACTTCTCATTTTCAGTAGTCAGTGTAATATTTGTTTCAAATTTTTCACCTATATTACAACAAAGATTTTTCTCAACAGTTATTGGTTAATAAGAGGTTGTATTGGTTATCATTGGTGCAGTCAAATTATGCACATTCTCACATACAAAACATAGCAGAAAGTAAAATATTGTGAAAAAAATGCTTCAGTAATTTCTTCATATTAGAAAAAAAATAATATTCAAAACTCTTTAGATGTATTTTGTATCACAGATTTTAAAGATCTGTTCTAAGCCCTAGGCTGAATGTTTATGAAAATAATAGAAGTTTTGATTGATTGTGATTTGGATGTAAAAAGTACATCAAAGTATACTTCAATGTTACTTTTAGTACAAACATTTTGTACAGAAAAAGTATAAACCAACATGATGTGATGATGGAAAAAGAGCAGTGACACCTGTGGTAGTTTCAGGAGAAAATAATGTTTAATACGTTCTCAAGAAATTAAAATATAGGGAAGGTAATGGACTGATGAAATTCTGTAGAGACAAGATAAATGTGTAGTACAACAAAGTGTTCTCTCACAATTCTGGAAATCATTTTAGTTTTAGGTTACTTAGTAAATGAATATATTATAAAGACTTATTCCTAATTTATCCACTATCCAAGATATCAGACTGTGAATTGGGCTTGATGAGTATGTGTGATACAATAGCTGAATTTGACAATATATAGATTTAAGTAGATTGAATAGCCAAAGCCAGTACATTTTTTTGTTTATTTTTAAAGACAAAGTTAAATTTTGTGAATATTTTTGTCTTATTTTTGAGATTTATTCTTTGCTTTCAGTCCATACTTGCCATCTGTATGTAGAATAGTGATACACATTTTTTAGACAGAACTTTTCATTTTGGAAGGTAAATTGTTAAGAACACAAGCTTCTAGCCTAGTGAGAAGTAAATGCAGATACCATAGCATATGATGAAATAAACAGCCAGAAAAGTTCACATTCCAGGTTAAAATTGATTGCACATGATACTGAGAAACCAGTTATATCATACACACTGTGTGATCAGGTGTCGAAGTGCTCAGGTTTTAAATGTCAAATTTATCAGAAGGATTTTCAGAACCCTATGGACTAATGTTAAATATGATGAAATGTCAGATTACATAGTGCTCAGATTAGAAAGGTTTCTCAAAATACAAAATTCCAGTAAAACTTTAACCAAAACACATCATAGATAATTAGCTCACCCAATATTGTCTGCAAATATATTACGTTGTCTAGAAAAATAATTCAGGTGTTTTATAATCATTAGACTTTAGCTACAAATAAAAGTGACTTATTGGACTGACAGGGCTTGAAGAAACATTGCCTCATACAACCATACAAAGTGTGACATGTATTACATTTTTTACTTTAGCATTAGCTCAGAAACAAGTTGAGTTTGAATTGTTGTTTAATTTTTTAAATGATTCTGTTGTTATATAATTGTGCTTGAATCATTTAGCAGTTGTGTGCAATATATAGATTTGTTTATTAACCTATTAACTATATGTTGAGTAGAGTTCAAATGTCATTATTTACAAAAATTGGAAAACTGGAACTTTGATGTGGTATAGTCAGTTGTTGGTAACTGTGGGCTTCAGTTGATGTTAAGTTACAATACCAGATACATGGAATCAATTTTTGTCAGATGATTTAAAAGCTTGGAGGTTTCAGGATAATAAAAAGTTTTATTTCAGGATTTTTTAAGAATCTAAAAGTCTTTTCAGAAACAGGTGAAAAAAGTCTGGTGTTGTGTAATGTTAAATTGTGGCCATGAGCAGGCTGTGGGGACACAGAGAGTTGATTCTGATACATACCTAACTACAGATATAGGTTATAATTCTACTGATTTTTCTACAAATTATTTAATAGTGGGTCCTTTTTATTACATTCCACAGAATTTAAATAAATGAATCCTTTAGTCAGTTTTAATGGTGTCTATTTCAATGAGAGTTGAATATGGTCTGATCCTCATTTTCTTTCTTTAGAATCAAATATCTAAATGATCCTCATATAACAAATGTTCCAAAATTTCTGTCAATATCATGAGACTTGGCACAAATACACAAAACCCAACCCAGGGGCATTAGCTTGAGTTTTCTGGAGTTCAAACAGATGTTTTTAAAACTTAAAGATATCACTCCAGAGTCATTCAAAGTATATATAAAGTCTTTGGGTGGAGCCAGTGGGTCTGTGAGTGGAGCCAGTGGGTCTGTGGGTGGACCCAGAGGGTCTGTCGGTGGGGTCAGAGGTCTGTTGGTGGATCCAGATGATCTGTGGGTGGAGCCAGGGGTCTGGGTGGATCCAGAGAGTCTGTGGGTGGAGCCCCTTTGTTAACAAAGAAGAATCTTTTCTTTTTATCTGGGTAAAACAGAGTGATTACAGACTAATTTGATTACCTATAATTGCCTTATTTTGTATTATTATAACCATAATATTCTACTCCAGAGGAGTGATATAGGGAACTCAAAAAATGCCTTCTTGTCTTGTGTGTAGTATCTCACTCTGTGTCCTAGCTGGCAACAATGTGTGATGTTGTCCTAGCTAGCTACAATGACTGTGATGTTGTCCTAGCTAACTACAATGTCTGTGATGTTGTTGTCCTAGCTAACTACAATGTCTGTGATTATGTTATCCTAGCTAGCAATGATGTCTGTGATGTTGTCCTAGCTGGCTACAATGTCTGTGATGTTGTTGTCCTAGCTAGCTATGATGTCTGTGATGTTGTTGTCCTAGCTAGCTATGATGTCTGTGAAGTTGTTGTCCTAGCTAGCGATGATGTCTGATGTTGTCCTAGCTAGCTATGATGTCTGTGATGTTGTCCTAGCTAGCTATGATGTCTGTGATGTTGTCCTAGCTAGCTATGATGTCTGTGATGTTGTTGTCCTAGCTAGCTATGATGTCTGTGATGTTGTCCTAGCTAGCTACAATGTCTGTGATATTGTTGTCCTAGCTTGCTACAATGACTGTGTTGTTGTCCTAGCTAGCTACAATGTCTGATGTTGTCCTAGCTAGCTACAATGACTGTGATGTTGTTGTCCTAGCTAGCTACAATGTCTGTGATGATGTTGTCCTAGCTAGCTACAATGTCTGTGATGTTGTTGTCCTAGCTAGCTACAATGTCTAATGTTGTCCTAGCTAGCTACAATGACTGTGATGTTGTTGTCCTAGCTAGCTACAGTGACTGTGATGTTGTCCTAGCTAGCTACAATGTCTGTGATGTTGTCCTAGCTAGCTACAATGTCTGTGATGATGTTGTCCTAGCTAGCTACAATGTCTGTGATGTTGTTGTCCTAGCTAGCTACAATGTATGTGATGGTGTCCTAGCTAGCTACAATGACTGTGATGTTGTTGTCCTAGTTAGCTACAATGACTGTGATGTTGTCCTAGCTAGCTACAATGTCTGTGATGTTGTTGGCCTAGCTAGCTACAGTGACTGTGATGTTGTCCTAGCTAGCTACAATGTCTGTGATGTTGTCCTAGCTAGCTACAATGTCTGTGATGATGTTGTCCTAGTTAGCTACAATGTCTGTGATGTTGTTGTCCTAGCTAGCTACAATGTATGTGATGTTGTCCTAGCTAGCTACAATGACTGTGATGTTGTTGTCCTAGTTAGCTACAATGACTGTGATGTTGTCCTAGCTAGCTACAATGTCTGTGATGATGTTGTCTTAGCTAGCTACAATGTCTGTGTTGTTGTCCTAGCTAGCTACGATGTCTGTGATGTTGTGGTCCTAGCTAGCTACGATGTCTGTGATGTTGTTGTCCTAGCTAGCTATGATGTCTGTGATGTTGTTGTCCTAGCTAGCTACAATGTCTGTGATGTTGTTGTCCTAGCTAGCTACAATGTCTGTGATGTTGTGGTCCTAGCTAGCTATGATGTCTGTGATGTTGTGGTCCTAGCTAGCTATGATGTTGTTGTCCTAGCTAGCTACGATGTCTGTGCTGTTGTTGTCCTAGCTAGCTACAATGTCTGTGATGTTGTTGTCCTAGCTAGCTACAATGTCTGTGATGTTGTTGTCCTAGCTAGCTACAATGTCTGTGATGTTGTTGTCCTAGCTAGCTACAATGTCTGTGATGTTGTTGTCCTAGCTAGCTATGATGTTGTTAACGGTATACTTGTATATGTACTACATTTTACACACAAATGTATATAATGAGATTTTTATGATATATAGTTTATGAGAAAATTCTTTGAAGCTATTTGTAGTTATACTTAACACTTGTACGTCTTGCTAGGTATTCACAGTATAGTGAAGGTCACATGATGCCTTAAATGTAGGTTATTCCTACCAGGTATACTATACCTACATTTGACAGGTAAAAGCACACGCAAAGAAAGCACACCCTCATTTAAATTTACATATATATTATATACATATCTGTAGTAAATAAACTGCTAGTTTATGCTATATACATTATGTATTTACTATTGACTGTTTATATTTAACATTTGAAATCCTCCATACTTACCAGCTGTACGCTGGTCTGGGACATTTCCAATGAATAAGTAACATAACTGGTTAAATGTTAGAAGCTTCCCAGTATGGGGCTCTGTCTAGTAGTGGTATCTAACCTTTTACAATAGAGGCCTCCCAGTATGGGGCTCTGTCTAGTAGTGGTATCTAACCTTTTACAATAGAGGCCTCCCAGTATGGGGCTCTGTCTAGTAGTGGTATCTAACCTTTTACAATAGAGGCCTCCCAGTATGGGGCTCTGTCTAGTAGTCGTATCTAACCTTTTGCAATTCGGACCACATGAGATAAGGTTTTGTGTGTCTTCATCACAGGATAAGGGAGATGTAGCAGTAACAGATTCTAGGTTGTGAAGCCATTGGTAAAAATATCCCTGCTGAGTTTGGAAGCCCCAAGTTTGAATTATTGATAGTTTTTTGCCATTTTTTTCTATAACACTGGCAAAGAACAATACACATCTAGTGTGTCTTGTCTACACTGCACCAGCACACTTCCCATTATAATGGAAGGGCTTGGTGAGAGGATAACAGCTGTTGATTTTAGTTTCTTATCTCAGAATGGTCAGTGTCCTTTAATTCTCCAAAGCAGTAAATTATAAGTTAAAGTCAATTATTATTATTACTATTATTATTATTGCATTCTTAACGGCCTGTCAACATATAAAAGGTCATTAAGGCCATCAAACGATAAAACACACAACAATCCAAAAGGAAATAACATTAAACAAACAAAAAGGTAAAAGACAAATGTTAAAAATCTTAAATGGGTATGTTAACGCAGAAGATAAAAATGGTACATCATAGTCTATTATATAGACCAACATCTTTCAGGTAATGTAGAAGTTAAAGTCAAAGGCAGACATGAAAACCAACACCTTATAGACCTGAAGTTAACCATAGTTGTGTTAAACATCTGGTTTCCCAAAAGCTGTTACAACAAAGTGAAAGACTTCGTAAAATGTGTGAAATTCGTCAAAGTTACATAAATTGTTACCTGTGAAGTAACATAAATTGTTACTTGTGAAGTTACATAAATTGTTACCAAAGAGGAATAACAATTACTCAGAGTAATATGTCTGTGTACCAAGAGTAAAATTAATGACTTGTAAGTGAGTACAGCTTATAGAGAGTTGTTTTGTGTATATATAGATGACTTATGGTCTAAATTTGTGTACCATTGTGTACAGTATTATAATTTTTTTGTAATTCACTTGAGGCAATTTTTGCACATTAATTTACAATTTGTTTGTATGATTAATTCAAGCAAGTTTTGAACAAATGAGTTGTAATACATGCTATTGTACAACTGAAGAAATCATATGAATGTGAATGAAATGTACACTGGGGAAATTTAGAATAAGTTTTAGTACAAATTTTTGGTTACATGCTATGTTAACAAAATTAAAATTATAAATACATTAATTAGAAAAACATCATTTTTTAATTTCAGCTGTTACACTGGACACAAACCATGCCACCTTTCAATTGTCTTTTGTATTCCAAAACATCCGAAAATTTAAACCCCCTAGGTTTATGTATAAAACATTAATGGAACTGCAGTTGTTTAATTATTTTCTTATAAGTTTTTGCAAAAGATTTCTTACAGGTTTGCAAGAATTGTCCTTGCCTAGTTGCCAAGCTTACACACAAAACAATTTGATAATTCTGCCTAAACAGTTGATGATGTTTAGATTGTTTTAGTAAATTCAATGTATTGTGTACTCTCATTATCTATATTATTAATGATTACTAATCAACAAAATACAAAATAAATCACAAATATCAGTTTGATGTTTTATTGTATTTTCTGGCACGACGTTCACCACAAAATGGTGAAGCAAAGTCTGTTTATCAGATCCTCACACAAAGGAGGCTGTCAGTCACTTCCATGCTGCATATATATATATACTTACTAAATGAGGGGTCGGACGATTTACAGGATCCTGTAAATTGTCTAACCACTAAATGAGTCCATGTTTTATACTAAATACTGGTTCTTCTTCCTCATTAACACAATACTTGGTACTTTTCTCCATCACATACAGAATCCTACACTGCCTGTCACCGATAGGTAGTGAATATTTATACCAGTTGTTTACATGTTACAGTATAGTCACTCCATCATGACCCCTTCACTAGCATGTTGCCAGTCACATACGCAATCAAAGTCTTTAGTAGTTCTATCCCTGCACCAGAGTGGGAACTGAAAAATTAAAAAAAAATGAAAGCAAATGTACGTATTTAGATGTGAGGCACCTTACTGAAAATTTAATATGTAAACAATCTCATCTTGTATATAAGACAAATATCATTGGTCCTGAACTAATGTGTCAGATACATATGTCCTTATAAAGATAATTCTATATACCTGTTATGTAATTAACATCTAGGTCCTGAGTGGTACAGAGATAAATCAGGGATATCTGACAAGGAAGGGCTGTGGTACACAGATAAATCAGGGATACCTGACAAGGAAGGGCTGTGGTACACAGATAAATCAGATACCTGACAAGGAATGGCTGTGGTACACAGATAAATCAGATACCTGACAAGGAAAGGCTGTGTTACACAGATAAATCAGATACCTGACAAGGAAAGGCTGTGGTACACAGATAAATCAGGGATACCTGACAAGGAAGGGCTGTGGTACACAGATAAATCAGATACCTGACAAGGAAGGGCTGTGATACACAGATAAATCAGGGATACCTGACAAGGAAGGGCTGTGGTACACAGATAAATCAGATACCTGACAAGGAAGGGCTGTGGTACACAGATAAATCAGATACCTGACAAGAAAGGGCTGTGATACACAGATAAATCAGGGATACCTGACAAGGAAGGGCTGTGGTTCACAGATAAATCAGGGATACCTGACAAGGAAGGGCTGTGGTTCACAGATAAATCAGGGATACCTGACAAGGAAGGGCTGTGGTACACAGATAAATCAGATACCTGACAAGGAAGGGCTGTGGTACACAGATAAATCAGATACCTGACAAGGAAGGGCTGTGATACACAGACAAATCAGGGATACCTGACAAGGAAGGGCTGTGGTTCACAGATAAATCAGGGATACCTGACAAGGAAAGGCTGTGGTATACAGATAAATCAGGGATACCTGACAAGGAAGGGCTGTGGTTCACAGATAAATCAGGGATACCTGACAAGGAAAGGCTGTGGTATACAGATAAATCAGGGATACCTGACAAGGAAGGGCTGTGGTTCACAGATAAATCAGGGATACCTGACAAGGAAAGGCTGTGGTATACAGATAAATCAGGGATACCTGACAAGGAAGGGCTGTGGTACACAGATAAATCAGGGATACCTGACAAGGAAGGGCTGTGGTACACAGATAAATCAGATACCTGACAAGGAAAGGCTGTGGTACATAGATAAATCAGATACCTGACAAGGAAAGGCTGTTGTACACAGATAAATCAGATACCTGACAAGGAAGGGCTGTGGTACACAGATAAATCAGGGATACCTGACAAGGAAGGGCTGTGGTACACAGATAAATCAGATACCTGACAAGGAAGGGCTGTGATACACAGATAAATCAGGGATACCTGACAAGGAAGGGCTGTGGTTCACAGATAAATCAGGGATACCTGACAAGGAAAGGCTGTGGTATACAGATAAATCAGGGATACCTGACAAGGAAGGGCTGTGGTACACAGATAAATCAGGGATACCTGACAAGGAAGGGCTGTGGTTCACAGATAAATCAGGGATACCTGACAAGGAAAGGCTGTGGTATACAGATAAATCAGGGATACCCGACAAGGAAGGGCTGTGGTACACAGATAAATCAGATACCTGACAAGGAAAGGCTGTGGTACATAGATAAATCAGATACCTGACAAGGAAAGGCTGTGGTTCACAGATAAATCAGGGATACCTGACAAGGAAGGGCTGTGGTTCACAGATAAATCAGGGATACCTGACAAGGAAAGGCTGTGGTATACAGATAAATCAGGGATACCTGACAAGGAAGGGCTGTGGTACACAGATAAATCAGGGATACCTGACAAGGAAGGGCTGTGGTTCACAGATAAATCAGGGATACCTGACAAGGAAAGGCTGTGGTATACAGATAAATCAGGGATACCCGACAAGGAAGGGCTGTGGTACACAGATAAATCAGATACCTGACAAGGAAAGGCTGTGGTACATAGATAAATCAGATACCTGACAAGGAAAGGCTGTTGTACACAGATAAATCAGATACCTGACAAGGAAGGGCTGTGGTACACAGATAAATCAGGGATACCTGACAAGGAAGGGCTGTGGTACACAGATAAATCAGATACCTGACAAGGAAGGGCTGTGATACACAGATAAATCAGGGATACCTGACAAGGAAAGGCTGTGGTATACAGATAAATCAGGGATACCTGACAAGGAAGGGCTGTGGTACACAGATAAATCAGGGATACCTGACAAGGAAGGGCTGTGGTTCACAGATAAATCAGGGATACCTGACAAGGAAAGGCTGTGGTATACAGATAAATCAGGGATACCCGACAAGGAAGGGCTGTGGTACACAGATAAATCAGATACCTGACAAGGAAAGGCTGTGGTACATAGATAAATCAGATACCTGACAAGGAAAGGCTGTTGTACACAGATAAATCAGATACCTGACAAGGAAGGGCTGTGGTACACAGATAAATCAGGGATACCTGACAAGGAAGGGCTGTGGTACACAGATAAATCAGATACCTGACAAGGAAGGGCTGTGATACACAGATAAATCAGGGATACCTGACAAGGAAGGGCTGTGGTTCACAGATAAATCAGGGATACCTGACAAGGAAAGGCTGTGGTATACAGATAAATCAGGGATACCTGACAAGGAAGGGCTGTGGTTCACAGATAAATCAGGGATACCTGACAAGGAAAGGCTGTGGTATACAGATAAATCAGGGATACCTGACAAGGAAGGGCTGTAGTACACAGATAAATCAGGGATACCTGACAAGGAAGGGCTGTGGTACACAGATAAATCAGATACCTGACAAGGAAAGGCTGTGGTACATAGATAAATCAGATACCTGACAAGGAAAGGCTGTTGTACACAGATAAATCAGATACCTGACAAGGAAGGGCTGTGGTACACAGATAAATCAGATACCTGACAAGGAAGGGCTGTGGTACACAGATAAATCAGGGATACCCGACAAGGAAGGGCTGTGGTACACAGGTAAATCAGATACCTGACAAGGAAGGGCTGTGGTACACAGATAAATCAGGGATACCCGACAAGGAAGGGCTGTGGTACACAGGTAAATCAGGGATACCTGACAAGGAAGGGCTGTGGTACACAGATAAATCAGGGATACCTGACAAGGAATGGCTGTGGTACACAGATAAATCAGGGATACCTGACAAGGAAAGGCTGTGGTACACAGATAAATCAGATACCTGACAAGGAAGGGCTGTTGTACACAGATAAATCAGATACCTGACAAGGAAGGGCTGTGGTACACAGATAAATCAGGGATACCTGACAAGGAAAGGCTGTGGTACACAGATAAATCAGATACCTGACAAGGAAGGGCTGTGGTACACAGATAAATCAGATACCTGACAAGGAAGGGCTGTGGTACACAGATAAATCAGATACCTGACAAGGAAGGGCTGTGGTACACAGATAAATCAGGGATACCTGACAAGGAAGGGCTGTGGTAAACAGATAAATCAGATACCTGACAAGGAAAGGCTGTGGTACACAGATAAATCAGGGATACCTGACAAGGAAAGGCTGTGGTACACAGATAAATCAGATACCTGACAAGGAAGGGCTGTGGTACACAGATAAATCAGGGATACCTGACAAGGAAAGGCTGTGGTACACAAATAAATCAGGGATACCTGACAAGGAAGGGCTGTGGTACACAGATAAATCAGATCAGATACCTGACAAGGAAGGGCTGTGGTTCACAGATAAATCAGATACCTGACAAGGAAGGGCTGTGGTACACAGATAAATCAGGGATACCTGAGAAGGAAGGGCTGTGATACACAGATAAATCAGATACCTGACAAGGAAGGGCTGTGGTACACAGATAAATCAGATACCTGACAAGGAAGGGCTGTGGTACACAGATAAATCAGATACCTGACAAGGAAGGGCTGTGGTACACAGATAAATCAGATACCTGACAAGGAAGGGCTGTGGTACAAAGATAAATCAGGGATACCTGACAAGGAAGGGCTGTGGTACACAGATAAATCAGATACCTGACAAGGAAGGGCTGTGGTTCACAGATAAATCAGGGATACCTGACAAGGAAGGGCTGTGGTACATAGATAAATCAGATACCTGACAAGGAAGGGCTGTGGTATACAGATAAATCAGGGATACCTGAGAAGGAAGGGCTGTGGTACACAGATAAATCAGATACCTGACAAGGAAGGGCTGTGGTAAACAGATAAATCAGATCCTTGACAAGGAAAGGCTGTGGTACACAGATAAATCAGGGATACCTGACAAGGAAAGGCTGTGGTACACAGATAAATCAGATACCTGACAAGGAAGGGCTGTGGTACACAGATAAATCAGGGATACCTGACAAGGAAGGGCTGTGGTACAAAGATAAATCAGGGATACCTGACAAGGAAGGGCTGTGCTACACAGATAAATCAGATACCTGACAAGGAAAGGCTGTGGTACACAGGTAAATCAGATACCTGACAAGGAAGGGCTGTGGTACAAAGATAAATCAGGGATACCTGACAAGGAAGGGCTGTGGTACACAGATAAATCAGGGATACCTGACAAGGAAGGGCTGTGGTACACAGATAAATCAGGGATACCTGACAAGGAAGGGCTGTGGTACACAGATAAATCAGATACCTGACAAGGAAGGGCTGTTGTACACAGATAAATCAGATACCTGACAAGGAAGAGCTGTGGTACAAAGATAAATCAGGGATACCTGACAAGGAAGGGCTGTGGTACACAGATAAATCAGATACCTGACAAGGAAAGACTGTGGTACACAGATAAATCAGATACCTGAGAACGAAGGGCTGTGGTACACAGATAAATCAGGGATACCTGACAAGGAAAGGCTGTGGTACACAGGTAAATCAGATACCTGACAAGGAAGGGCTGTGGTACACAGATAAATCAGGGATACCTGACAAGGAAAGGCTGTGGTACACAGGTAAATCAGATACCTGACAAGGAAGGGCTGTGGTACACAGATAAATCAGGGATACCTGACAAGGAAAGGCTGTGGTACACAGATAAATCAGGGATACCTGACAAGGAAGGGCTGTGGTACACAGATAAATCAGATACCTGACAAGGAAGGGCTGTGGTACACAGATAAATCAGGGATACCTGACAAGGAAGGGCTGTGGTACACAGATAAATCAGATACCTGACAAGGAAGGGCTGTGGTTCACAGATAAATCAGGGATACCTGACAAGGAAGGGCTGTGGTACATAGATAAATCAGATACCTGACAAGGAAGGGCTGTGGTATACAGATAAATCAGGGATACCTGACAAGGAAGGGCTGTGGTACACAGATAAATCAGGGATACCTGACAAGGAAGGGCTGTGGTACACAGATAAATCAGGGATACCTGACAAGGAAGGGCTGTGGTACACAGATAAATCAGATACCTGACAAGGAAGGGCTGTTGTACACAGATAAATCAGATACCTGACAAGGAAGGGCTGTGGTACAAAGATAAATCAGATACCTGACAAGGAAGGGCTGTGGTACACAGATAAATCAGGGATACCTGACAAGGAAAGGCTGTGGTACACAGGTAAATCAGATACCTGACAAGGAAGGGCTGTGGTACACAGATAAATCAGGGATACCTGACAAGGAATGGCTGTGGTACACAGATAAATCAGGGATACCTGACAAGGAAGGGCTGTGGTACACAGATAAATCAGATACCTGACAAGGAAGGGCTGTGGTACACAGATAAATCAGATACCTGACAAGGAAGGGCTGTGGTACACAGATAAATCAGGGATACCTGACAAGGAAAGGCTGTGGTACACAGGTAAATCAGATACCTGACAAGGAAGGGCTGTGGTACACAGATAAATCAGATACCTGACAAGGAAGGGCTGTGGTAGACAGATAAATCAGGGATACCTGACAAGGAAGGGCTGTGGTACACAGATAAATCAGATACCTGACAAGGAAAGGCTGCTGTACACAGATAAATCAGATACCTGACAAGGAAGGGCTGTGGTACACAGATAAATCAGATACCTGACAAGGAAAGGCTGTGGTACAAAGATAAATCAGGGATACCTGACAAGGAAGGGCTGTGGTACACAGATAAATCAGATACCTGACAAGGAAGGGCTGTGGTACACAGATAAATCAGATACCTGACAAGGAAGGGCTGTGGTACACAGATAAATCAGATACCTGACAAGGAAGGGCTGTGGTACACAGATAAATCAGATACCTGACAAGGAAGGGCTGTGGTACATAGATAAATCAGGGATACCTGACAAGGAAGGGCTGTGGTATACAGATAAATCAGGGATACCTGACAAGGAAGGGCTGTGGTACACAGATAAATCAGGGATACCTGACAAGGAAGGGCTGTGGTACATAGATAAATCAGATACCTGACAAGGAAGGGCTGTGGTACACAGATAAATCAGGGATACCTGACAAGGAAAGGCTGTGGTACACAGATAAATCAGATACCTGACAAGGAAGGGCTGTGGTACACAGATAAATCAGATACCTGACAAGGAAGGGCTGTGGTACACAGATAAATCAAGGATACCTGACAAGGAAGGGCTGTGGTACACAGATAAATCAGGGATACCTGACAAGGAAGGGCTGTGGTACACAGATAAATCAGGGATACCTGACAAGGAAGGGCTGTGGTACATAGATAAATCAGATACCTGACAAGGAAGGGCTGTGGTATACAGATAAATCAGGGATACCTGACAAGGAAGGGCTGTGGTACACAGATAAATCAGGGATACCTGACAAGGAAGGGCTGTGGTACACAGATAAATCAGATACCTGACAAGGAAGGGCTGTGGTACACAGATAAATCAGATACCTGACAAGGAAGGGCTGTGGTACACAGATAAATCAGATACCTGACAAGGAAGGGCTGTGGTACACAGATAAATCAGATACCTGACAAGGAAGGGCTGTGGTACATAGATAAATCAGGGATACCTGACAAGGAAGGGCTGTGGTACACAGATAAATCAGATACCTGACAAGGAAGGGCTGTGGTACACAGATAAATCAATCACAAGGATACCTGTGACAAGGAAGGGCTGTGGTACACAGATAAATCAGATAAATCAGGTATAGATACCTGACAAGGAAGGGCTGTGGTACACAGATAAATCAGGGATACCTGACAAGGAAGGGCTGTGGTACACAGATAAAACAGCGATACCTGACAAGGAAGGGCTGTGGTACACAGATAAATCAGGGATACCTGACAAGGAAGGGCTGTGGTACACAGATAAATCAGGGATACCTGACAAGGAAGGGCTGTGGTACACAGATAAATCAGATACCTGACAAGGAAGGGCTGTGGTATACAGATAAATCAGGGATACCTGACAAGGAAGGGCTGTGGTATACAGATAAATCAGGGATACCTGACAAGGAAGGGCTGTGGTACACAGATAAATCAGATACCTGACAAGGAAGGGCTGTGGTACACAGATAAATCAGATACCTGACAAGGAAGGGCTGTGGTACACAGATAAATCAGATACCTGACAAGGAAGGGCTGTGGTACACAGATAAATCAGATACCTGACAAGGAAGGGCTGTGGTACACAGATAAATCAGATACCTGACAAGGAAGGGCTGTGGTACAGAGATAAATCAAGGATACCTGACAAGGAAGGGCTGTGGTACAGAGATAAATCAGGGATACCTGACAAGGAAGGGCTGTGGTACATAGATAAATCAGATACCTGACAAGGAAGGGCTGTGGTATACAGATAAATCAGGGATACCTGACAAGGAACGGCTGTGGTACACAGATAAATCAGGGATACCTGACAAGGAAGGGCTGTGGTATACAGATAAATCAGGGATACCTGACAAGGAACGGCTGTGGTACACAGATAAATCAGGGATAGCTGACAAGGAAGGGCTGTGGTACACAGATAAATCAGATACCTGACAAGGAAAGGCTGTGGTACACAGATAAATCAGATACCTGACAAGGAAGGGCTGTGGTACACAGATAAATCAGGGATACCTGACAAGGAAGGGCTGTGGTACACAGATAAATCAGATACCTGACAAGGAAGGGCTGTGGTACACAGATAAATCAGGGATACCTGACAAGGAATGGCTGTGGTACAGAGATAAATCAGGGATACCTGACAAGGAAAGGCTGTTGTACACAGATAAATCAGATACCTGACAAGGAAGGGCTGTGGTACACAGATAAATCAGGGATACCTGACAAGGAATGGCTGTGGTAGACAGATAAATCAGGGATACCTGACAAGGAAAGGCTGTTGTACACAGATAAATCAGATACCTGACAAGGAAGGGCTGTGGTAGACAGATAAATCAGGGATACCTGACAAGGAAGGGCTGTGGTAGACAACATTTGTTGTGTTGGTCTCTGTATTCTATCACAGACATTAAGTTTCTCAGTAACTGGTGCTTGGTAGTCTTGTCAATTTTTGTCAACACCATCTGAAATCAAAAACACAAACAATGAGGTGATGTATGGAAAAGATTGAAACATTATCTCAACTCTCTACCCTAATGATGAGCAAAGAAATAATTGTCAATAAACATCGATTAAATTTCTAACATAATCTGTTTTTTCTTTTTCATTATGATGGTACTAGGAGTCATGGAATATCAACCTTTAAAGCTTATTTCATTCTCTTTTCACTTGATAAGAATGAAAAAATTTCCCCAACATTTCAGGTGTAGCAACTCTGTGTAGCAGTATATAAAAAACATCTACCTGTTCTTTTTTCAACCTGAATTTTACAACACCTTGCATCAGTTGGGAAAAATAGCAAGATATTAATTTGTTTTGGGTAAACAGATCAAAACAAGTACCTGATTAGTATTAAAATTACAAACTGCTTTTCATGCCTGTATTTGATTTACAAATGTCCTTCAAGTATTTTCCTATTTAAGAAAGGACATCTAATATATAATGAATTGCTGTAATTGATAAAAACTTTAATTTGTGATAAGAATATAATGAATTGAAATAGACCAGAAACAGCGGTAATGCCGGTGGTTTAGCTACGTACACAGTGAACTGTGGAGAAGATCTCTAGCTTCTCTAACATCTCCTTATCCAGTGTAGTTAATCCTATTTCACCGTCGATCAGAATAAACACCATCTCCAAGCTACAAAATTCAGCCATAATCAACAAAAGTCTTATTTACTTTTCACTATCTACAATCCTAATCAAACATCTACCTGACCCCAGAACTCTATCATTAACTTCCTGTAGAAGTTATAGGCAAATCATTTTAAGGTGGTACCCCTATAAAAAATGAGGAGTACAGGGGCGGGGTGTTTTATGTGATCAATGCCTAATACAGATTGCCAAGGTAGACAACTCACTACATAAGGGATAACCATTTCCTCCATCATTTCCAGGCCTATTCGATCACTCTCAGTAATTCCCATCACTGCATCTATTAATATAAATGACCTGACTAGCCTGAAATAAACAAGTATTAGTGTTTCAATAATACTGATAATGATGTGAAGATCAATTTCAGACCAAGCACACTGGTATCTGAACAGCTCATTTTTGTTAAATTTGACAAAAAAAAGGAAGTTGGAATTTGTTTAATTGTTGTGTTTAATAAGCATTAAGCCCTGTCTGGTAATAAGTCCACTATCATTAATTGCCTTTTCTGTGGAAATGCCAACAAATTTGACATTGTTTTTTAAGTAATAAGCCCACCTTTGTTTTTTTTAGTCACACATATATTGTTGGCCTATGCATACAGAATCTATTCTGTTAAAATTTATCAGCAAAGATAAAAAGATTACATGTAATATATCATGGGAACTTCCAGATGGATTTCTTAGTGTACTGAACAGCTTTACCTGTTAGATAATGTCACCTGTCGAAACAGGACATAAATGAATCACAATGTCACAATGCAATCAAATTTGGTATATCTCTAAAGTCATCTTTAATAGTTTATTTATTGTTGCTTTACATCCTCTTAACAGACAGGGTCACTTAAGGACCTGTCAGGTTTGAGTGATGGAGGAAGTTGAAGTTTCAAAAGAAAATCCACCAACCTGCAGCCAGTACCTGGTAACTGACCCACTTAGACCTGGTGACCTTGACCCAGAGGTGAAGGACAAGTGACCTCCAAGAGCCTTAATTACTCGGCAACCCTCTTTTATTTAATATGAACTAGTTATCACAATTGTAGACTGAAATTCTTTTAAAAAGCATAACTTCATTGATACAGAATACATACTTTTTTCTTTCTTTAAAATAGGTTTCCACACAATCTTTGAAGTAGGACGGCATATTGTGTCCATAACCAGGCATATCCACTAGTGTGAAGGCAGTACCAGCCTGGTACAGCTGTAGCGCCTTTGTACGACCCTGTAACCCAAAACTTCCAGCAATGTAACCCGATACAATAAAACAACTACATAACCAGTCTGGTACAGCTTAGTGCCTTCGTACGACCCTGTAACCCAAAACTCCCGTAACCCCATACAATAAAACATAATGGGCAACAAACATATTGTCAGGTCAAACATAACAAGCATGTCAACCTAACTAATGTTTTTTTTCCCACCATTGACACATAAACATTTTCCTTCATAAAACAATGAAGTGCTGGATTCCCATTATTGGCAAACTTGAAGATCATAATAACTATTAACATTATAAACTCATCCGATCCTTTGTTAGACAAAAAACATTATGAAAAAGTTTTGAAATCCATTTCCAAGCAGCTTTTGTAAATGAAAATGTATTTTACATATTTTTATTTAATTACTTCACATATTTCAGATCAATGCAATACAAAGGAATACAGAAGTTATTACTGATATAAATATATAGCAGCCATCTTGTTTCATGTGAAATCTGACATTTGAAAAAACTCACAGGCTTCGAGGACACTGCCACTTTTCGATGAACTTCATCTGAAGCGCTGGAAAACAGGGCTCGTATCAAAGAGGATTTACCAACATTGCTTCGTCCAATAAATGCCACCTGAAATTGTGAACTGAAGTCATGACTTTTTGAGCTAGATTACAGGTGTTTCATAACAATTACAGTGAAGAAACACTGTACTGTCATAAAAAATTATATGATACAACTGTCTCATTAACAAAAAGTATAAATATTCATGTCAAAATTCATGTCTTATTGTAGCATTGAGAAATGAAAAATTCAAACAACAAGATTCCCCTTTGATTTCCTCATGAATCGGAGTAATATCTACCAGCACTTGCATTTAACTCACTCTCTGCATCTATATAAACAATACATGATTTTGATATTAACTTCAATTGTTTTTCTCTGTTGATGTCATCGATGTGAACCAAGATTTTAAAGTAAGAAAAAGTAGATGAAATTAACTTCAAACTGAAAAAGAAAATCTTACCTCTGGAATATCATATGTAGGTAGTTTAGACATGTCAGCAGCTGTCCCTATGTGTTGTATTTGATGTGACCTTCCTCTCGGTGTGAAGAATTTTGAAGCAGATTTTATTTCAGGTTCAGATGGATTGAAAGGAATGGCTCCTTCTTGGATTATTGGCACAGATATAAAAGGCTGTAGCTCACTGATTGGATTGTATTTTGTAAGTCCTGTCTGATTTGTTCGTAATGAACAGAATTTCCTCCATGATGTGCAAAAACCAAAAGATCCTTGGGTTTTTTTTTTCAGCAAGATGGACAGTTTGCTCCAGGTGTAGATGTCATTTGAAAGCACATGCATCCCTTGTCGTTGAAATAATCTGTGAAACTTCATTCTGTCTGGCAGGTGTTACAAGATGTACAGGTAACTAAATGAATTTGGTTGAATTCTGAAGTTAAATCTAAAATATCAAAAGATCATAAAATAATATGGGGCGTGGCAGATCAATCTGAATTGTTATGTAAATGGGACGAACATGAAATACAAACAGTGTTGGTTCAGGATCATTCGCTAGATTTTGTAACTGAGCAATTTTACTTTAAATCAGTTTGTAAAAACTGTAGATTCATCGCCATGTGTAATATAGAAACCTGAAGCCTGCTACAAAAGCCGTTTTTTCAATTTGGCGTTCAATTGCTGCGATGATATATATACTGAACAAAATAAGTTAAGGATCATAAACTTGAAACAGTGCAGTTTTACATACAAATAATAATATGATTATATTTTAAATTTTAATGACAGAACATTCATTTTAGTCTTTAATTACACAAAACAAATTCATTTGTGGTAATTGCTACCAAGAGCAGATAACCCTGAGTAACAGCACCCTTGAAATCAAAGTGTAAGAGGAAGTAGAGCAAGTTAATCATGTAGACAAGGAAAACTCATCAAACTGCAATTGGCAATTTAATAGGCAGTATGACCTCCGTTGACATCAATAACTGCCCTGCAACGTCTGCACATGCTCCTTATTAGTCGTCGGTGGCTGATCTGTGGGATGCGCTGCCATTCCTCTTGCAGAGCAATCATAAGCTGTTGGCGGTTCTGTGGTGGATTAGGTCGAGCTGAAACCCGGCGTTGCAAGGTGTCCCAAGCATGCTCGATAGGGTTCAGATCAGGAGAACGACTTGGCCAGTCCATGCGAACGATTGCTTCACGTTGAAGATAGTCGTTGACCACACGAGCACGGTGAGGACGAGCATTATCATCCATCAGAATAAAATCATGGCCAACAACTCCTGCAATGGGCCTTACTATAGGGTGTAGAATCTCGTCCCTGTATCGAACAGCTGTTAAAGATCCATTGTCTATGATGTAGAGGTCTGTATGGAAGTCAACACTGATCCCTGCCCAAACCATCACTGACCCACCACCAAAGCGATCATGCTGGACAACACAGCAGTCTGCATAGCGCTCTCCTTGGGTTCTCCATACCCTCCTCCTACCGTCATGGAAGTCAACACAAAACCTAGACTCATCTGTGAACATAACATTTCTCCAATGACGTAATTGCCAATTCAAATGATGAGTGGCCCATTGATGTATGGATTGTCGATGACCTCTGGATAAAATTGGTCGGACTGCTGGTCTTCTAGCTCGTAAATTAGAGGCATGGAGTCTGTTTCTCATTGTCTGGGATGAAATCCTTAGATTTGTAGCACGCTGAAACTGAAGATTCAAGACAGGAGCACTCAAAAACCGCTGACGTCGTGCCGTGATGCAAATGAATCTGTCCTGTCGGGCTGTCGTACAGCGTGGTCGTCCAGATCTGGGGCGTTGACGGACGTTATTTGTCTGTTGATAGCGATTCCATAGCCTACTAATCACGCTCTGAGAAACATGAAGCTGTGCCGCCACATTTCGTTGAGTTTGACCAGCTTGAAGGAGCCCTATAGCTCGCGCGGCTTCCATATCATTTAAATGTCTTCGCATGATTAGTTTTTCAAGTTTTCGTTACAAATTGATTAAATGTTTCCAAATTCAACTTTTTTTAGCTTAGAAGTAACAGAATCAAAACCTGCAAGATTCCTCTGTAGTAATAGACCAGTCAGTTTTTCACACCACCATAGTTAACTAGAGCGGAACGGCAAGACCTTCAGATGCACGTGCTTTCACCTTTGACATGACTTTAGGTACATATTGGAGAAACTACGAGTGCAATTACCGGCAATACATGATTTGAATTTTTAAAGATATTATGGTCACAATTTATGATCCTTAACTTATTTTGTCCAGTATATTTAACGATCGAGGTACACTGTCAAACGTCTAATATAAATGAGGAATCCCGAAGAGGATTAGCAGGCACGGTACGAAGCCATCTTTAATGCAGCACGAGTCCGAATTGAGAATGTTCATCAGTTCATGAATATATTCGCCCATCATATACTAGCTTTGGTGTCCGTGCATATCCCTTGCGTATATTTCAAGCATTTTCGGGAAAACCCACAAATTACAAGTTAGTAGCTTTCGCCGATCTGTTCAGACTTCAGTGCTTGTCTTCGGTATGGGTTTTGTTACGCGTCTGTAACAATATTTTATTAAATTGAGACATTTCTGTATTTAGCTATGCTTACTATTTTGTCATCAGGAAGTGCTGCTTCTGTTATTCATAGCCATGGTGAAGAAATTTAATGACAGCGGTATAGCGACATTCAGCTGCACGCTGATTTACAGGGCGCAGCCATCTTGGAAAATACCCGGATGTTGATTACCCTGTACTAAACGGTGGATTTAATTTTGAGATCGACAGAGGTATACATAATAATAATTATACATAAATCGTCATTACAACTACATGTATTAATGCCAGAATGGTATCGATGTTTATCTCAGACTATAGATCCATGTCTGGGGACTAGAAACTTCATTGTCACAATATATTTTTCTAGAGATATAAATACATAACGACCTAGCTATTATAACGTTAATAAATAAGGCAGTAAATTGGGGAAAACCGCTACAGAGCAGTGTTTGTCTGATAGAGCGTTCTACTTTGCAATTGAAATGACCTTGGCCTACAAACGTTGTTAAGTTAAAGACCATGCTAAAAAGTACTGATGTAAATATGTTCTGACCAAAATATTTTGAGTAAGATGCTGTATACAGGATATCAGTAACAAAGCTTGAAACTCACGAGAATGTCGATGCCACAGCCATAATTACATTGTTCATACATACATGTATGTGTTCAGGTCAAAGGTCATCTTACTGCGAGTGTCTTCAGGTCAAAGGTCATCTTAATGCTCTTAGTGGTCTAATATTGTTGAGAAAAGTGTAATTATGGATCAACAGAGGATTTTGATGTAAACTGCAGTAAATCATTGTGGGGCAGACTCAATTAAATTACAGTTACACATTTTCATTGTAAAAATTGGTTCATGTGTATAAAACTTTGCATTACAAAACTACTAATAAACATGTTTTTTGTAACTTCCATGTTTTAGGTATCAATATAAATGCCAGGTTTATTTGGATTACAAAAAACAAATGTTGAACATTTTTTGTGTGAATTAGTTTTAGCAATAATTCTTATTCATATAATTATATGCAGTTGAGTGAAGGCAAAATCTATAAATGTGTATAAGTTATCAAACAATTATACATATGTATAATGCTTTGAAGTGATGTTTCTGTTTTAAACAGGAGTTAATTATATATAGGCAGCAATGGTGCAATGCCTGGGAGACATGTTAGGATGAGTGTGAGGTGGGCGTTTAACTTCCGGGCGTGGTCCCCGACCGCTGAAGACTGGACACTATGTAACCAGTGTATACAACCTGAAGAAACACATAGGATCAGCAAGTTTGTGTTCAAGAAAGATGCCAAGTCTTCCATGGTAACGTACCACGCCAGATCTAGTAATAAGACTTATTCCTTTTGTTAGTGGAAGGTTATAGTGTTTTTATTTAGAAATCTACTCCAGTGATGAAGTTTGTTGTTAATATTTGACTTGGTGCGTTTAGGTTTTAACTAAAAGACTGAATGAGTTCAAACTCTGAGGATGATTCTACAACAATGATTCCTTCCACCATGTCTGATGTTGATGATTATGTGTGTTCCTTAAATGATTTCCACGAAAATTAATGTTTGAAAAACCATCTGACATAATTTGCTACAATAATGTTGGATCAGGGTTGTGTAATAGAGAGAATGAGATATGTGCTCTAACATCCTGGTAACACTTCCAATTAAAAAGGAGAAAATTCATTGACTCATAGCCAATTGCAAATGGTTTCATTAATGACTGAGGTACACAGAAGCTGCCATTTCTGTTTTTAATTTCGTGGTCATTAATTAATTCAATTGGTTAACATGTCAGTTGTTTGTTATTTAATTGGTTAACATGTCAGTTGTTTGTTATTTTCCTGTCTGCGGATGTTATCAGTAAACACTTGAAAATAGTATAGGAAAAGGTACAAGTCTAGAATAATTTCTCACATCTTTTCTCCAGAAGTGTCTTACTAATATTCTCAAAATCAGTGGTTTTACAGAGAGCTGAATAATTTTCACATCAGACAAGCTTATTTTTAATGATATTTTATATTAGCTTGTGATACTTGTCAAATGTATACACATTTACATGATTTCTTTTTTGTAAACAAATGAGATTAAACTATATTTTAAACTACATTCAGACCAAACTATCAAGGCATCATCTCAGTAACACCTAAAAGCTGAGTCACAATTCAGTCCTTTTTTTATAGTTTTCTCCTGGAAATGAAGGGTTTAAAGGTCTGATGTCTTTTGGTTCAAAACTTTTGAGCTATTCAATTTCAGATTGGACGGTTGATGATCAGAAAGGTTGTATCAGAATACCTTAACATTCCATATAAGGAGGTGGCTTTAGGGAGAACAGAGAAGGGAAAGCCTTTCATAGCCAACAGGTCCAATGTTGATCATTTTAGCTTCAATGTTTCCCACCAGGGGGATTATGCTGTCCTTGCAGCACAAGGGAACTGCATTCTTGGTGTGGATATCATGAAATTGGAAACACGTTAGTAAGTTTATAGGGATAAAGCTGTTCATGAGAAAGCATTAAAATAGTTCAATGTAGTTAATATTGAGTAAGGACATAAGCAAAGGAGTTAGATGACAGGAGGACTTAAGTTAAATGACAGAAGTTATTGGGTTTAATGACATAAGTTATTGAGGTTAATGACAAGTTATAGAGGTTAATGACATAAGTTATTGATGTTAATGACAGAAGTTATTGAGGTAAAATGACATAAATTAGTGAGGTTAATGACATAAGTTAGTGAGGTTAATGACATAAGTTATTGAGGTTAATGACATAAGTTAGTGAGGTTAATGACATAAGTTATAGAGGTTAATGACATAAGTTATTGAGGTTAATGACATAAGTTAGTGAGGTTAATGACATAAGTTAGTGAGGTTAATGACATAAGTTATAGAGGTTAATGACATAAGTTATTGAGGTTAATGACATAAGTTATTGAGGTTAATGACATAAGTTATTGAGGTTAACGACATAAGTTATTGAGGTTAATGACATAAGTTATTGAGGTTAACGACATAAGTTGAAGAGGTTAATAACACAAGTTATTGAGGATAATGAAATAAGCATTGAGCCTTTGATAAACCTGTGTCTTTGTCAGTTCGTTTTTGTGTGTAGTTTGTACTCTATAGCTTTGTAAATTATGGATGTTTTTGTGGACAGGAACTGATGTGGCTAGCTTCTTCAAAACAATGAGGAGACAATTCACTAATGAGGAATGGAGGGTTATCCAATCACCCGCCACTGACAAGGAAAAACTCAGACTGTTCTTCAGACTCTGGGTATGATTATAGTTATCCTTGTTACAAGTTATTAAAGGAATCTGTAGCACCCTTTGTATTATCAGCCTTACCTCAGAATGATGGTTTTTTTATGGAAACATCCTATAGTTAAGAGATATTTGTTAAACTGGGTCCAATTAGATTTTTAAAAACCCAAGAAAAGCAGCAATGTTATCACCGACATTTATTCTTTGATATTATTCATTCATCAGGTGCTTAGATTATAAACACTACTGGAGTTTAAGATATATTTACATTTGTCCTCTATATTTTGTTAATTTTCAGTGCTTGAAGGAAAGTTATGTGAAAGCACTGGGTGTAGGCATTGGATTTGAGGTTGGCAGATTGAACTTTGACCTTACAACTCGAAATATAGACTCTAATGTTACTACAGATACCACATTGAAAATAGATGGGACACCAATGTCAGAATGGGCTTTTGAGGAACAGTTGCTAGGCAACCATTGTGTTGCAGTAGCTGTAAACAAAAATAGTAGAACATCCCTAGAAAACATGGTAAGTATTATGATAATATTGTAGTGTTATGTATCTTATGGTACCTATTATGTCCCCAAAATAACCAGGTATTAAAGTCACTCTGGTTGTTGTAGTTGCTCTCATCCAATAGCCATTCACAAAAAACAAAAAAAACACAGAAGGAAAGAAAAAAATCAACAAAATCTTCCTAAGGCTATGTTCTTCAATTTTCCTTGGTTTAGAATCAGTTCTGTCTTCTTTAAGTGGTAAACAGGTATCCTTGGGCTAGGTACTTTACACCAATTGGTCGATCTGACAAGCAATGGATTTCCTGTATGTAGCTGAGTGAGGTAGCCACCAGCTACTGATAGGAAACTGCCTTATATTGACTCTGACTGTTAACAGGACAATATTCCGGTAAACAAAACAAATAGATGTTATAATTAACATTGTTGATTATGTAAGATATGACTATTTAGCCCCATATTCATTCTGACATCTATTAACATTCATTTGACAAATATTCCTGCATTTCAGAAAAAAACAACACATAAAAGTGATTGTATTGTGGCCCCCGGTTATAACGAAATGTATTGAATTCTACAAAATAGATGTAGTTAATATTTCTGTTGTAAATATATTATAAAGATTTTTTTACAGATCACGAAAAAAAAATACTCTGAGGACAATGAAATCTTGATTCATTTCTAATTGTTGTTTCACACATGAAATGCTCTAATATTTTTAAACCAATGATTTCCAGTAATTTTAAGTTTTCATAATGATATAAATGATGTGTTGTTTTGCAGGAAAACAAGAAGATAGCGACAGAATTGCTGTCTTCTGCTGGAGAGTTCAAGGTGCTAGATATTAAAGATATTATCAAAAATGTTGAGCCTCTTTCAGAACCAGATATGTCATTTTGGGAGAACTTTCAGCCAAAAGCAGAAGACCCTAGTCAGTGGAAAAGTAAACAAGCACAGAAGTCGTGACAAAATTCCAGCATACATATGTTATTCCAGTGCCTCGTCATAACATCATAGATTGTTTATAGATCTGAGTAATACTAAGATCAAGAACAAGTATTGCATGTAGCTGCACTGAATCAAAGAACTTGAGGTGTGAAAATTTTCAACAAATTATGTTTGAGAAGCTGTTTAGGAAAAACTTATCAACACTGTTTAAATTACTGCTACTTTCGGTTTCGGATCTTCTGTTTGGCAAACTAGGCTAAGATACACAATTCTTTAAGATAACAGCGAGGAAAATAGTCCTCAAGTTGATTGTCATATTAATCAGAATATTTCAAGGCAAAAACAGAGGCAAAGTCACAAACAAAGTAATTTGATTGGTGTAGAGCAGGTTTCAAGACAAAAAAATCTGACCCATCACCAACTGATATAGTCCTTTGAAGATTACAAAAGAGTGACACCCATCTTCAAAGCCAGTACGGTATATGGTTATGGGAGATGGAGATTCCTTTGATATATATCAAAGAATCAAGCTAGACATTTCGTCTTAACAAGGTGACACATACAGAACCTTACATTTTGTCATGAAATGTTCCAGAGGTGTAGAGAGCGAAGGTGATTGTAACCCCTGGAGTATCTAATATGGAATTTGTGCTAATAAACTGATAATTACATTTGATACCATATGGCAGGTTATTTTCATAGGGATATTTTTCACTATTCTATGGTACATTAAAATGATCATTAAAATTTAATGTATGAAATAACGAGATACATGAATTGTATTACACATGATGAATAAAAATAATTTATTTGTTTTAAAAGAAATCGTTAAAATTTTGACCTGTGAAAATTACAGACTGTACAGTATTCAAATATGTTTGAAAGGGAACATTTGCAACTGAATAACCTTATAACATCACTCACTCTGACTTTATAGTTACGTTGAGCTAAAACATTTTGGTTTCGTTATTTTCTGTTGATGTTCAGTGTTTTGTGTTAGCAAAGCTGTCTTTAAGAGATGAGAAATAGTCCTAGCATTATTATGTAATTATTGCTTGTGACTATTTTGTGATTTATGTTGTTGACACATGCTGGTTAAAAGTAACAGTAGTTTGATGTCATCAAGTGATTTGTAGAATCATCATTAAAATTACTGCAGTGATGAAAACAGTGTTATAAATATTCTTTTATTTTCTTTAAAAATCATTTATGGACAATATTACATTGATAACAATTTAGAAATGATCAATAAAATATATTTGTAAAAGATGTGTTTTGTCATTTTAATATTGCCTACTTACTAATTCTGAATTGATTTGAAGTATTGAAAGCAATTTCAAATCCTCAATACTTTTAAGTATTACTCAGTGATTGTAGATTTTGTTTGTCTAGGTCTGATTTGGTTTGTTTATACCAAGGCCTAGCATTCTTCGCCGATCTAGTGTGGCCTGTACAGATTCCTAAGTGACGAGTCTGGAATAAATAGGTCAGTAGCATTTATGGCTATTAATAAATTATATTCCTTATGGATCATGTTTTATGGTCACATACCAACGAACCTTGATCGAAATGATAAGGAAATGTTTTTTGTCTTTATATAATCCAATGATGAGTCCTTGCAACATTTATCAGACAAGTCCTTACTTTACCCTTTTTTGTGGGAAATTATTTTTGCCACTGTGGTTCATGAACTCTTTCATGTCATATTGATATAAAATCCAAAATGGCTATCTTCTCTTATGGAAGTCCGGCAAGATTGTTCATTGTGCAAGGACTGGCATTTAACGAAGAATTGACACCTAGTTCAATGTTTCAGTGATCAATTGTGTTGATACATCAATCATTGTACCTTTTTTATTTTTCCCTTAACCTGGATGCAAAGGGTGATTATGTATAACCCAGGTATCATGATGGGATGATATGCTGTCAAGTTTGTTCAGATAAATGATCTTGACCTACTTTCAAAGCTTTATGGGTCTTTATGACTTCTGACTAACCAAAAGACGCATGGTCACAATTTTACAGAATCAATCTAGGCTGACTTTGATCCACTTTCTAAGTGTTCGGATTGTTTCATCATTAAGGACATTGACCTTTTGCAGATTACATGACGGAAAGGCTGTTCTATGTGTCATTATATTTCAACAATACTGCTAGAAATTCAAATATTCAGTTTATTCATAGATGTTACAGGGTATAGTCTGTATATACACAGCGACGGTTTATATTACATTTTTACTACACCTACGTCCCAAAGGGAATTTATAGGAAACCTCTGCACCACAGTTGTAGGGTTTTTTTTCTGTTATCCATCATGGGAAATAAAAATGCCGTGAGAACTCACCCAGTGGTCCTTGTGTTCTTTTGCTAGAAACCAAGAACATTGGCACCCAACGTGGGGCACAAACCTACGACCCCGAGATTAACAGTCTCGTGCTCTACCGACTGCGCTAAGGATATAGCTCATAAGTCTCCGGTGCTAACCAGAAAAATTAATAAAAAGAAGGAAAACTGATGGAAATGACTGAAACAAAAGGAATTTAAAATAAAGGATTCAACATAACTATAAATCTAACTTTTAATTGATAATGAAATAGACAGTTACAATAAGGTTAATCTAACTTTTAATTGATAATGAAATAGTTACAAATGTTCCAGAACTGCAAATATCTATTACTTCCACTGAGGTTTGAACTCAGATCTCTTTCCAAGAAAGGAAAGTGTTCTTTCCAGTTGAACTACAGAAGTTCTCTCTTCTTTGCAGAGCCTGGTATTTGTAACTGTTATGGTTGAAAGTTTGTGGCTAAGTCCCCTGACAGAACAACATCATTTGTTAGTGAAACTGACAATCACTCCAAAAACCATAAAAAATTCTCCTCTGCTTTTACAAGGGCTTGGAACCTTCTACTATATGACAAATATATGAAAATTTTGCAATATAGTAGGCAGCATTCAAATTTTTTTATAATAGGTTGTTACCATTTCCTTCTCAAGAAGTTTTTTCTTTTTACAACCTTGCAACACTTCATATTTCAAGCTCGGTTCATCAGGTGAGGGGCTCAAACTGTGCACTGCAAGCACTACAAGGTATACAATTAAAATTTAATCAAAGCTACAAGTTTGTGCAGTTATAGGTTTGAACGACTATCATGAAAAAAGAGCTGTTAAACATGAAGAGAAAGTTGAAATTGGTTTTCACACTAAAATACCAATACTTATCAAGAACTCACATCATCAAGGAGATTTGTGGATAAGTTTGAGGCTGAGACCATCGACTGGTGACAAAAGACGGTTCTATATGAGACTGGGATTGTCCACAGTGGCAGGAGACAACTCTACAACATGCGGTTTCGATAGATCTCTTGTGGCAACAGATGGTTCTAGTTGAGGCTCAGACTGTCCACAAGTGGCAGGAGATGACTCTAGATGAGGCCAAGACTGCCCAATCTTGGCTGCTGACAACTCCAGAAAGTAGTGGCAAAGACAGTGCTACACAGGGCAGGGCACAAACTTTCCACTAATGACAGGAGATGACTATGGACAAGGTTATATTTGTCCAGCGAAGGCAGGAGATGGCTCTAGATGAGGCTGGAACTGTCCATGTGTTGCTGGAGATAGATCTGTCCAGTCAGGCCACTGAATGATATCCTAAGCAATTGAGGTAAAGTGCCTTGACTAAATACACAACAGTACAGGATGATCTGTGAACTCAGAGCCCCAAGAAACACAAATTTAGTCCTTGTAGCAATCAAACATCACACCCTGATCTTAACCAAAGGCTGATATGTCTGATGTTCTTCAAACTGTGCTAGTACAGCCAGACCTCATGCTTGCTGTCCACAGTTGGCAGCAGACAGCCATACAAGCAGTACTTGTTGTCTGTTCCCCTTCCAGCAGCTTTTCTTTTCCTTGCCACTCCTATATCTTTTAACTCTGCCCTCCATTTGTCAAAAGATGCAGCTTCTGTCTTACCACAGTTCCTGTATCCTCTATACTGCTGATGAATGGGAGGAGTACTGTCACCTCCACACTTTGGACATTTCACAGATGTTGCCTGTCTGGTGTGTTTGCATTTTACCACCCCCACATCATCTGTTACATTTTTTCTTTTCTGTCTTGCTTGTACAGTTGGTACTATCATCGGCGTAGTCAGTTGAGTTATCACTGGTTGTGTCAGTATAACTTGCAACTGTACATGCCCAGGTGCAGCTAAGATGGTATGGGGAGAATTGGCCAATGAAAACCTTGTGTTGGTGGTGGCATTGAAGCTCGGATCTTTAATTTGGGCATGGCAGCAGTATCTGGAGGATATACAAACTGAAAAGGCGAAGTCTGTCCTAACTGTAAGGCTTCTGGCTTCGACTTTGGTTCCTTTTCCTTTTCCTGTCATCAAAGCCTTTGACAGCTGAATGCTTTGCAGCAGGATCTTTAGATCTCTCTCTTTCCCCTTCTTGTTGTACCTAAAACAGAATAGTTGTTGTTATTCAGTTCTTGCATTGAATGAATAATCTAGAATTTCAATGAGTAAACAAACTTTTCTGAATACTCTTTACATTGAATGTATCACAAGAATAACTACAGTAAATGCTTTACTCTATGTAGATATAGTTGAACTGTATTTACAGTGTCAAAAATTATACATATTATATGCACCATGCACGTTGCTCATGTTTTATTTATGGTTTACAATTATTCTTGTGATGTATAAAGTATTCGTCGTGTGATGCAAGCCAGATGATTTTATCGAAGTAAATAAAATATCAAGTGACAATCTACCACACAAAATATTCTTTGATATACCTACAGAGCAAAATGGAAGTATCACACAGATTCTATTGCCATTAAAGTTAAACACTAACCTTTTACTAGCTGTTTGTATTCAGCATTTGTTGAGATTTGCAAGAGAGACCTGGTAGGAGTGGGAGTTTGAGGTAATGCTGGCTGTAATGAAGGTATGGTCAGATCTTCAAAGGCCAACTGCTCCTCAAACCCTTCATCATCCTTGTGCTCAGTGTCCTCATCTTACACAGAATCCTCTTCAATGACTCTGGCAGTTTCCTGGTACTGCACAGTGGCACCAGCTGACTGGGAATATAAATATTCCAAGCCAATGAGCTCGCCTGAAAACTTGTAAGAAATGATATGGTAAAGATGTTGATTTGTGCATTAGGTAACAGGAAAATACAATCCTAGTATGTTTAAAAACTGTACACATTCATCAACACCAGTACATTTCATTACTCACTGCAAACGTATTAATCATCACTGATAATGAGTCTTCATTTCATGAAAATATTGTGTTTATTGAACCAAAAAACAGTTCATAAATTCCCCGAAAAGGCCAGAGAAAACAGTTATTTGATGCGTCAGGTATACCTGTGTACTTCCCAGGGACTGTAAAGTCTGAACAGATGTGTTTATTCAGGATTTCTTGTGACAGTTTGTTGACAGAATGCCGTAAACTTCCACCGTATGAAAGAGGCCCTTGTGAATCTTGGTGTGTTGTTGCCTCTGTCTGTCTAGATTCCATCGATGGATACCATCTAACAAGTAGACCTAGAAGTTTATGTCACCAGCAAGAGTACCTAGAACAGAATATCAAAATAAATTCAGTTACAGTTCTTAAAATGAACGATAAATCCATTTCAATCAAAATGATTTCTTTTTTCACCACTGTTACCAGCAATACATACTTTTCAATGTTAAGTATGTTGAGTAAAATAATAATGTTATGAAAAATAAAGTAATCAAGTTTATGTAAAACTGCCCTCCTTGTAGACTCTTTACAGTCAGTGAAATCTGTTAAAAGCAACCAGACATTCCGAGAAGATTACCGTTAAATGTTTTAATTTAAGGCATTGAACAATTAATCTCTACATTTGGAACATATTTGGGGTATGTTCATGCTGTTTAGAATTTATCTTCTGAGGAGAATGTTTAGGAATTATACCTGGAATAAACCTGTTCATGTGAAGATGGAAACTCTCCAGTGAGGTTGAACCTCTAGCACATCGGTATTTGGGTAGCATCACACCACATTTCCTAAGAGTGCCAACTTTGGTGTACAGCTGAACACCATCAGGATCCTGGAGGCAGGCAACATCCTGTGACTGCTTTGCCCAAATCTCTTGCACCTTCACACCATCAAACAGTGGCACCCCAAGAATGTCCAGCCCCTTTTCACCATCCATGGAGAAAATCAGATCACT